ACAGGCTTACTGTAAGAGGGTACTGTAAATGTTAGGGATTTGAATTTTCTGTGTATTCATAAATTAATAATGTCTTAACACTTTTTTTTTCTTTTTTACAAAATGTAATGGTATGTAAGCTAAATGTTAGTTTAATTTCTATTTCTCAGTCATTTTGGTCTTTGTGACTAACAAATCTGCCTTGGAGTTGGGACTGAAGATCAGTGAGGTTGGTTCCATTTTTGTAATGGTTTGCAGAAGTTGTTTTGTAGTGTTTTTATGTGTGGAATTTGTTTCAACGTGTTTGTAGTAACAAATGCAATGTTAGTTGTGCTGTTTTCCAAACCCCACTTGAGCATATAGTCTTATTTGTATTACAGTAGCACCTGAGTGCCTCAACAGAGCCAAGCACCTGATAGCCAAAGTGAGGCAGATGTAGATATGGTGAAAGGTTGTTCTCCCCACACACCCTGTGACTTAATTTTAATTAAAGATAAGATGCTGAAGTGTATTGGAACAGACAAAAAGGGGAACGTTTGTAAACTGGAAAACTGTCCTGGTTTGCTATTGGACTGTTTTGGGAGAGTAAGAGTAGCATTCATCTTTAATGTCATCCCCCCTGCCCAGGACCTCTACCTTCAGTGAACATTAAAATGACCATTGCCTTGAATTTTAGATACAAGGTAAGGTGGGTGGGGGTTTAAGCACCACAGTGGCAGTGTGTATCTTTCACAGATGTTATATGCTCATTTGTTTTCCTGTATTGTCCATGTAACTGAAGTGTTTTGCTTGTCACCTCTTCCAAGTTGTCTTTTTAGACAAAGTAGGACCTCTTTTATAGCTAGGTAGGACTTCCATTTTCCAGTTCACCTGTGTTACCTGCTGTTGTGTTCTTGACTGTTACCATTCTCTGTGTGGCTGAGGGTGAGGGGAAAAAGAAGTAATCGGTGTTACCATCTTTGCACATAACTGTTTATGTGCTGCAGCAGATTTCAAAGAGATAGTGCACCTACTTGAATTTGGCAGCTGTCGTTAAACAGGTGGATCCCAAGGTGCTGCCGTACTATCCTTTGGGCTAGTATTACAAGAACTCTTCAGTTTTTACATGGCTTTCAGGTAAGACAAGCCTTATTTAAAAGAAAGCCTTTAAAGCCATAGTATTATGCTACCTCTGCATAGGACAGTAGCACAGCTGCAGTCCTATGTCTGTTGCATTGCCAGCAAGAAATAGAGCTTGTGTTGGATACTGGTTGTCCAAACTGCTCAATTTTACTGCCATACTTCTACAACCTATAGCACCTCTCACCATTTCTAGATTGTTTTTCTGGCTGTGCTGATGTATTGTCGATGGTCCTTTATATGTGGGTAATGCAGATGCACACTGTGCATTGTATGTTTGGAACAAGGAGCTATAGTGCAATAGTAATATTTTGTAATATGGATGTGTTTGAACTGTTTGATGTAAGTAGAGTTCTCAGTCTTTAAAACTCAAAGCTCTTAAAAGCAACATGTTCATGTTTCATGTTGGATATGAACCTAATTTTTACTAATTCCCCTTCTGTATTTAAAAATATGACTTGCTGCAGTGAATCTCTCATTGTCTTCTAAAGTGCTGGATAAATTATGTATCAATTCTTCTTAGTTATTTAAATAAAATCAATTTTGTGAACTACAGCGCTGTTAGTGACTGATTGTTTCAGGAACAGTTGCATGTTGCCATCTGAAAACCCGTAGTGCAATACATATGGTCTGATGCTAAACCCTCAGCAAACTTTTTGGACAGTAGTTCCAATTGTGTTCTTTTAATTTTTGTTCTCAAAATTATCAGAGCAACGTGAAATGGTTCAAGATCTATTTAACCTATAAAAACTGTTGAGAAAACATCAGCACATAATAAATAGCCTATCTATTGTGTGAGTTACTATCTAAAAATTTGCCACAGTCTTAGCACATTTGAGCTTTTCAGCTGTATCTAGCTGTTTTAAGATGTGTTTCTGCAACTGACCAGCGCAATTCTACTTATATTTATATACTTACATTTTTAGTGGCACTGCTTCTGCTGTTTTCAAAAGATGGGCTAAATCCCAAGTTAGGTCTTAAGGAAAAGAGTCCATCTTCAGCCTCTTCATCACTGTACTCTCTAGAAACAGCTACATCCATTAGTCTTTTTTTAAATACCCCAGACAGTAAAATGACAATGTTGAGATTCAGGTTTGGTCCATGCCATACTTTGACCCTTTTCTCTCCATCACTTGGATATTAATAGACCTGCAAATGCGGGAGAGTTGCAACTAGCTCCTCCGCATGCTCTTTGCCTTTTAACACCAGTCAATGGCTCTTAGCTACATTGTGAGATTTAAAACTTGTGATACAAACTGCATTACAGAGAGAGAGAGTGTGTGAAAATGTTTATTCCAGTTGAAGATGATGTGCCTCTAGAAATAGCTGTAGCCCCCTGCTTTTCCTTCTCTGGATGTTGTCAATCACTTTCAGAATAAAGAGTAGATTTTAGGACCATGTTTTGTTTCTTATTGGGAGCAGTGGGTGGTTTTTTAGTGGGAGTTCTAATGACAAGTTTAGGGCCCAATCCTGGAGCCCCATTTAGTGAGCCTATGAGCAAAGGATATGCTGGCTGCACTTTGTGAACACAAAGACAGAAATCATCTCATGGGTGGTTTTCTGAAGATGGAGATGGTAAGAGGGCTTTAACCCCTCCCCCCCCCCCCCCCCCCCCCCCCCCCCCCCCCCCCCCCCCCCCGAGTGTCATGTTGCTGACATGAATAATTACAATTTTCTGTCATGCCCTATGGACTAATTAGTTACCCAGCTTTATCATACCGGTATCGACTAGACTTCCTCAGCAGTGTGTACAAGCCACAGGAAGCTAATTGTTCATTATTGTTGTCAACTGAGTTCCCATTAAGAAGAGTAAGCTCTTATTTATGGCCTGTGGCTTCTGCTTGGAATAATCAAGGTGCTGTGCCTGAAGAAGGCCAGAGTCTTGTGGGAAAAGGTAGTCCTGCTGCTGTAATTCAGTGCTGGGAGGATTGCAGCATGCGGGGGTGTCCCACGCCGGAGCAGCTCGGGAAGGGCTGCAGCCGTGGGAGGGAATCCAGTCAGAGAATGTTGGTGACCCATGCTGGAGCAGTGTGGGGAACGCTGCAGCCCGTGGGAGGCACTCATGTTGGAGAGTTTGTGGAGGACTGTCTCCTGTGAGAGGGGGACCACAATGGAGCAGGAGGAACAAGTTTTGGACACTCCCCTCACCGAAGATGAAGAAAGTGACAGCACTGACTGCACCCCCCATTCCCTGCCCCTGCGCCACTGGGGGAGGAGGTAGAGATATCGGGAGCAGAGCTGAGCCTGGGAAGAAGGGAGGGGTGGGGGGAAGGTGTTCTCAAGATGTGGCAATGCTTCTCACTGTCCTACTCTGTTATGTGTTGTTAGTGTCTGTAATAAATGTATGTTCTTTTTTTTTCTTCCCCTAACGAGTCTGCCTTTTGCTCGTGATCATAAAGGGGAATTTTTGCCCATCCCAACCCTATCTAGAACCCCAAACCTGTCTCTCTGTCCCTTCTCATTGCCAGAGGGGAAGGGAGAGAGAGCTGCTGCGTTGTGGTTGGCTGCCAACCAGGCCCAAACCACGACAACCACACAGCCCCTCACTCCTCCCTTACCCCCAAGCTCTGAGAAGGATAATATAAACACGGGCTCAGAATTTGAGATAAGGACAGGGAGAGATAAATCACCCACTATAGTCATGAGCAAAAACCAGACCCATTAGGAAAGAAAAAAAGAACATAAATTTAATACAGACACTAACAACAGCAACCTGTGCAAAGCTTAAAATGATTTCAGAAATGTAAGTTTATTACAGGTCATTGGGAAAAACAGTTTAACTTTTTTTTTTTTTTCATTAATAGTCATTTATAAAAAGATTTTTCTCGCCTCACTGATGGCTGCTGCAAATTGAATGTGGAATGGGGCACCCTGGTGTGACATTCAAGGTAATTTCCACAGCACAGGGAGAGCTTTGCTTTCCTGTGCAATACAAGGTACAGATTTTGGAATGCCCATTTTTTTCATTATTCAAAATCAGATTTTCTTCTGCTAAGAACATTAAGTTCTGCAAACTACTCCAGACAGCTGCGGTCACATGAATTATCTTAGCCACCCCAAGAAGGACGCATCTCACTCATATTACAATGCACCAAAATTGTGTAATCAACAGGGGATATCTTGCAGAGAAATGTTCCATTTTTATTACTTGCTGTCAGAGATATCATCTGTTCTCTCAAAGCAGTTCATTTATTAACTGATTCCAGAGAGCTAACATCTTAGTTGGTATGAAAGGTCCCAAATGTCTGATCTGAGAAATACCCAGGTGCTTTACAGGCTGTGAGCAACATTCAAAGGTAAATTAAAAATTCAAACTGTGGGATCCTTTAGTTGCCTCTTGACAATAATGCAAAGATGCTTTAATCAAAAGGTCTTAGTCCAAACTCAAAGTAGTGTTTTATTACCCGTTCTCCAACTGTGGATCGTATGCCCAACATTCTCCAAAGTAGCTTTTGAGGGTTTAGTTCTTTATTTGAAGAAAAGCTTTCTCGATATTCATTACTTTATGTTAGGAAATAAAAATTCAGTGTGATTTTGCACTGGTGGCAGATGCTGAGCTAACAGGTTGGTGTTCCCCATCTACTTATGCAAAGAATAGGCATCCATTTTAGTTCAATTCTACTTTAGAAAAAGTGCCTACACTGTAAGACACTCCTGTATTTATCAATGTCTATCTTAACCTCCGCTTTTCTGAGGGTATTTCCACCAAAAAAAAAAAAAAAAAGGATTTTTAAAATATATCTGTTAATTGATTCTGAACAGATCTTGACTTTTCGGACCCCAGTTCTGAAGGGATGCCTCCCTACCCAGTTGCACTTGGATCTAAGCCAGCAACCTAAAGGTCCACATCTCAACCATTTCCATGTTGCTATGAAGAGACTTAGAAAAGGAGGAGGCAGGTCTGATGTGATTAGACTGTTGCTTTAGCGTTTAAGTACCAGAAAAACACACACAGAACCCCAGTGATAAAAATTCTTAGTCACGCAGACAACAGCAACATACATGCAGAGAATCCTGTCCTGCAAGCCGATCCAAAATCAACTCGACAAAGACAAAGAGAGCTCCTTCCTGGGAAGAGTTCTCTTTCTCCCCTTTAGTGGCTCCATGCCATTACCATCAGCCTGCATCAAAGATGCAGCTCTTTTGTACTACCTCCTGCAGAACCTCCCTCTGGGTTTTATCACATGTGGTTACACAATCCCTAGGTAGGCCAGGGCTCCACACATCCCCACCATTTTAGATCCAGTCAAACCTATGTAAGGTCCTTATAGATTTTCCAGAGCCACCATTTAGCTCACAGCTACTACCGGCTCAACTGCAGAGATGTCTGTCTTTCCTGACTGGATGTTGGAGGCTGATGGAAGGACATGAGAGGCCTGCAACCTCTTGAAGTTGCTGTTTTCTGTCCAAGCCAGTCTGTAGGATGGGACTGTGGAGCGAAGCCTGTGTTCTGTGGTCTTGGGAGGTTTCCTGCACATGTTGAGCAAAGCCTTCAGTTCTGATCGGAAACTGTCATTGAGCCAGCAGTAGATGAAGGGGTTGTAGCAAGTGCTGCTCATTGCGAACCAGTGAAAGGCAAAGTACAGGGCATTGTTGGTGTGGATGGTCTGGCTGGAGAGGAGGACGACGTAGCAGTTCAAGGGGAACCAGCAGACTGCGAAGAGGATGACAACAAGCATCAGCATCTTTATGGTCTTCTTATTCTTTTTGCGGAGAGCAAAGTACTGCTCAGTGGTGACGTCCCCGATGACATTGCGCAGCCAGAGTTTCTTGGCCACTGTCATGTAGGCAGCAGAGATGATCAGAAGGGGCAGGACGTAGAGCAAAATGAAGGTTGTTAAGTCGAGGTACTTCCAAAAGAGGTCAGCGGGCTCAGGGAAATCGGGCAGACACAGGCACCGGGTAATCTCCTCACTGCGAGTGGAGAGACGGGGGGTGAGAGCGCATACGGCCGGGCACCGCAGGAGAAGCACATCAGAAACAAGGAGGTAGGTGGGAGGGGGCTCCGGCCATACAGCCTGGAGGCAGACCCTCGTTTATGCACGTGTCACAGTTAAGCACAACTCTGCTGTCCAAGGATTTGAGCCATGGAGCAGCTTGTGAGCAATGTGGTGATAATTTCTCGTGAGCATTCATGACCTTATAATAATTTTATGAATTTCATCAATTGCAAAATCTCCAGCTGCACAGAAGCAGGGTTTTATTCTCTGTCCTTTGGCAAATAGAAACACAGTCTCTGCACATATTAAGGATATTTCCCTCATTAAAGAACTTTCCAAATATCAAGGCTCATGACAGCATTTTATGGAATGAGCAGCTGAGGCAGATCTTTTCACTTTCCCAGGGATATAGAGCAGATTAAAACCTATTAAGTTTTAGGTTTTTCCCATTTCTGCTCTGCCCAAACTGGTCAGATTGATACATTGTGTAAAATGCCAGTGTATAGGGACAAAGGGTGCAGGCCAGATCCTCTGATTTCCTAGCCTGTTTCATGTGATTAGTGTGACAGAATAAAGATAAAATAATTAAAAATAGAAACAAGGATGGGATATCAGCCATTGCAAAAGGAATCTGATGAAAATTATAGACTAGATTCATATTTGGATTATTTCAGCATAAGCTCAGGGCTTTCAGTAGAAGATGCCGAAGTATGACCACTGAGAGTTTGGCCTCCAGGGAGATTGTGGAGGAAAGCAAAGCACATACTTACCTGTATTCAAAGGTAAAGAGTTTTTGGTAGATAGCATGTGGTAGGGAAAAACAAGTTGCCATGATCCAGATTACAGAGATGTAGATAATACCTTTTGCAGTGGATATGCGAGGTTTCAGAGGATGCATTATAACCTGTGCAAAATAAACCAATATTCAGGCTTATGACATTTCAGAAGATAATTATATATTTTTTTCATATGATTTTCCAGCCTTTAAAGCTATTACTAACGTGGCAATTTATCATGAAATACAATCTTCACCCAGCTCCCACTGCCAGTAAACGGTACATGAAAGCCTGAAATTTTCCTCCGTGGAAATGGGTAAAGTCAGATCCTACTCCTACCCTCGCATTTCAGTATTTGCATCAAGATGGGAAAAACTGGGTACCCGGGGGTCTTGCACACATGTTAATTTCCATGTTCAATTTACTTAATAACAAAACAAAAAAAATAGAGAAGAAAATAGTCTCAGACTCTTCGGTATCAGTGACCCAAAGAACCACAGGTTTGTGATTTAACCAGATCTCCCTGGGGATGCTTCTGACAGCCAGTGTATTTTGGGGAAATTAGAGGCTTTCTAACAGATGTCAACTGTCAACTGTTTTGTATAGTTGTTGGGGGACTCCAGACTGATAAATCTGACTGTCCTCAGTTTTGAGCCCATTATCAACAGCAAGCCACAGCTCTGCTTGTGACAAACACCAGTGCTCTACAGTCAGCTCTCCAGTATTCAGGGTAACAAGGGGTGAGACATCCCAGAGCAAAGGGAGACAGAGCTGCAGAAACTAACTGGGATGTATCTACATCCATGGTGCTGGACAAACCGCCCCAGAGGAGAGCTGCCCGTGTGAATTCCTGTCAGGATCTTGGACTTTCTCCTTGTTTGAGAACTACTGGATTATCTACCACAGAAAAGCTCCTGTTCCCCAGCTGGAAGCAAATGGAAGGCAATGGACATGTCCCGTCTCCCACCTATCTGTGGGCTTGAAACGATACTTCCCATCTGGCAGCAAGAACTGCTCCCCTACCTGGGAGCTGAGAAGGAAAGGACAATGGATCATCCTTTCTCATTTTAATTATGCCCTCCCAAGCTTTCTGTCTGTCTGTTTCAGAGAGCTCTCACCTGGTGCCTGTCCATGGCAATGGCTGTGAGGGTCAAGGCAGAGACATGGAGGGAGCAGTACTGTGCAAACCTACTGACATGGCACATCCCTTTCCCAAATATCCAGGTACTGTTCACAAAACGAGCCTAAAACCAGAATACCATTAGTTTTGTACACACACACACACACACACACATCCTCCATCACCTCCACATGTTTATAGATATCGGAGATACCTCTGGCACATAATTCCTTGTGCTATGTAAAAGATATTTTCAAAATAGCAGGTTCTTTGTATAGTCGTATAATTTTCTGGCTTCTGAACCCTGAAGAGCTAAGTTAGTGGTGCTCAGTGGCTCAGCAATATCCTCCAGGACAATGCAGCAGCAAAGTACAAAAGATGGTTGTTCTATTTTATTCAGAGTGTGTGCTTCTGCAGTCTAACTACTGAGTCAATACAACTGTCTTTCCCTGTTAAACCCTCCTTACAGGATAGGGCTGACCTATACACCTTATTTTACTTCAAAGCAAACTACAGCTTTTCAACACAGCTCATAAAATGATTGTGAACATGAATTTATCTTTTTTTTTTTTTTTTTTTTTTTTTTTCCCAAGAGGTTCATAATGTTACCTTGGAAATACTTTGGAGAAGGGAAGGAAAAAAAAAAAGACCAGATACTGCAAAGTACTAAATAATCACTACGAAGTTATTATTGTTCAAGTGCTATCAAGGCCACTTTTAACAAATGGATAATTTCAGATCTTCAGCTAGATAACAGGAATTTGAGAAGAAAAAGACATGTGGAGCATTCCAAAGATAACTCCAATCACTGTAGTCTGTACTAGACAGGTATCCGCAGATCATGCATGCACTGCCTATAGTGATGTAAAGAAGAAAAGACCACTGAAGTAACTGCAATACCTTTATGGCATCTCTGCCACCGTCTTACCAGTGTAAAAGGTGTGTTGAGGAGTGTGATCATGATATCGGCTACAGCCAGGTTCACAATGAACAAGCTGGTGGCGGAGTGCATGCGCTTGGTCTTGATGACAACGTGACAGACCAGGATGTTGCCAAAGAGGGAGAAGACAATGATGAAGGAGTACGCCGCGACGAGCAGGGCTTTCACGGTGATGCTCTGCGACTCCGCTCCATACCGGCTCCTGCCCACAAAGCTCTGCCAGTCAGCCAGGCTGTCGTTATCCCAGGAAAAGAAACCCGAGATATTTGGGATTACAAAAGTCTTCTCCAGGCTCTCGTTGAGGGGCAACTTTCCTGGGGTTGCAAAGGCGTTAATGAAGTTGGGGATGGAGAGCCAGACAAGACAGGACAACATCTCTGACACGCCGCTCTGCTCCTCCAATTTGGAAATTGTTCATCTGTGAGAGAGAAGAGCTCACGCCGTGTGCCAGGAGAGCCGTCCTCCCCTTGCTCAGCCCGGGCGTGCTCGGGGGTTGCAAACACAGTGTGCAAACAGCAGGAGCGGGGGGATGCTCCTGCTTCCCACAGCGTGCTGCGCTCCCGCTCGGCTCACTGTTACTTTTGCTCCTTCAGCCAGCTTTATACCCCTCAGCGAGCTCCAAGCAGGGATCATCTGCAGCCATTGGATTTCACAACATTATTTCTGCTCTGATGTGATGCTTTTCCAACCAGTCACACTCCCCTGGGCGTTACTCCAAGATAAGCACATCTGTGAGGAAAGCAAATCAATCTCTCCAGTCGTCACCATTCTTTTTCTCTATCAGCAGCCCAGCTCATGCAAATGCTGTGCTGTTTATAAACCAGCAGCATGTGTGGCAGCTCTGCTGTCTTCCAGGACACAGCTGAAATTTAAGCTCGGTTTTAAAGGTCTGGCAAGTTCCAGCCTATTTCACAGCATAATTCTTACTAGCTAGCATAGAATAGGGGGTTAACAGATGAACTGTGAATAACAAGCTGGCTTACTGTACTTACAGTATTTTTCCAAAGACCTTTTTTCCCTCAAAAAAACAGAGAAATTCTTAAGCTTTCTCTTGGCAGGGATTTCCTTTTGCCCAAGGGAATAAAAAGTTTGATGTGAAACTGTGCTTTCTAGGGTTTGTAGAAATACAGAGGTATCTACAAACAGGTGATTATATGGGACAGATGATGGGAAGGGACGTCACAGCCTAGTGAGTCCACTATCCAAAGCAACAGGCAACCATATGCTGGATCCAAGCACAGATGAGATGACAGCATATATGTTCCCCATGCCTTTCCCCAAAAAACACAGTAGCAGGAGGCCAAGAGCCACAAATCCTACACAGCACAGAAAGACGTGCCCCTCCATGAGTGCACATGTAAGGTGTTGCCCCTCTGCTGGGACAGATCTGCTTGGGTGGTGTCAACTAACCTCAGCCAGAGTAGGTTTTGTACATAAAAGGCTTTATTTAACCATCAATTGAAAGACCACTGTCTGAAATGGTTATATTATAAGGTGGTCATTCACTGGTGAAAATAACACTTCCAGAAGATGCTTGTGACTCCTCCAGCGAACTACTCGGGCTGCTTTCTCCTCGCTGCTGCTCAGGAGTTGAATGCAGCAGGACAGGCAGCATGACCAGCCCACAGTGCTTCCCTGCAAACTGCTGCCAGCATCTATTCCTTCCACAAAATTGTCCAACTTGAGCTGTTCTGGCAGTTCGCTTGTCTCAGAGGAAGCTCTCCAGAGACCCCGCTGGAGCTGCTAAGGTGGCAGTCACCTGCAACCATTCAGAGAGAAGAAAAATCTGTGTCCAGCTCAGAAGCGCTTGGCCAGCAGGGATGCCCTGGATCTGATGCTGCCAGGGAAACAGAGTCTCACAATGCAACATAAAGGTCCAGGGAAATGGCAGAAAGCAGGACAGGGCAGCGTTCTGGTGTGGGCTTGGGATGAGAACCGAGCAGCCAGTGGCATATGTCCCCCTTCTCACTGGGCTGCTCCAGCAGCTCCCAAGTCCCCCTCCTTTTCGGTGCTGGTGGCCAGTGCATAAGGGTATTCTGTTTTCTGACACTCAAACTCCAGCTCTTCTTCCTCCACATCTATCAGATCCTGCTCTCCTGTACTATAATCCATATTTCAGCACAAATGATTAGTTTTCTCTATGTACTCCATGTGATCTATTTCTTAATTTCTAGCAGGGTACCCTTGCATGTGTAGCCAGAGCTGCCATTGCCTTTGAAGCCCAGGTGCTTCCAGGAGAGCAGGAGTCTTTCTCACCTCCGCAGCCAGGCTGCTGTGGGGATGGGAATCTCCTCCCACGCAGCCCAAGCCCACCTTCCTCCCAGCTGGACTCAGCCTCTTGTGATCCAGAGGAGGTGGTCCCACCACACACCGGGCAGGCCCACCCGAAACACCCAGGGAAAAAGCCCAGTGGAGGCTCCCTGGGCCATGTCACTCCTGTGTGCCCCTCTCTGCCTCACACCACACTTCTGGCTTAGTTTGTATTTAAATATACCCCAGTATGAACCATCTAAACAGTTCACCTCTGTGTGGTTGTTACGAAAGAACAGAGAATTGTCAGAGATTTGTCACCTTTGGTGCCTGCTCCTGCTGCCTTCAGCCCTGCTCTGCCATCCCCAGCACCCACTGACAGCGAAGGAAGCAGCTGCACAGGAATGTCAGGATTTGGGACACTGCATCTGTTTTTTGTAAAAGGTGATGTACTTTATAAAGTGTTTAGAAAATGTCTGAAATAAAGCTATATAGCTCATGAATTCAGGTGACCAAAAAAATTCATCAAAAACAACTGTACACTCAACAAAATTATAAGAAACTAGAAAACAGACCTGTTAAAAAAAGTTTTAAGAGGAATATAAAAAAAAAAAATTCGCCCATACACACCAAAAAATGCAATTTGGAAGCATTCAAAAAAAGAAATAATGCTTTTTTTTTTTTTTTTTTTAAAAAATGCACAGCAGAGTGTACACCCCCCAGCCATTTCCTTGGGAACAATCTTTCTTTCACTCCTGTGGCTTTGCTAAATTTTTGAGCTTTCCTGGGACAGGTGGATTGAAAGTTACATGAGTGAGAAGTGACTTTTTAAAAACTATCCAGTGTGGTCTTTGGGAAATAATGTTAATTTTCTGAGCATCTTACCCTCCTGTATAAGAAATCACAGTAATGGTTAGGAGAGGTATCTGTTTATAGTACAGTCTTTCTACACACAACAGGCTACATTTTTCCCCCTGAAGTGAAGGATGCCATCTTTATCTTCTATACAAGGCAATTCAAGAACTGCAGCAGTTTAACACTATAAACAAAGCTGCTGTGAATTCAAGTTGGCTGAAAAAAAAAATGTGGAAAAGGTAGAATGAACCTTTGATATGATTTCTATTAATCCTACATATGTTTTGCTAAAATCTTTGCCTAGGATGTGCCTGCAACAGTAAGAGATGGAATCCCCTTAAGACCTTAGTGAAACAATAAACTAGGCAACATGAGTCTTTGTAAGAAAACAGGTTTAATTTGGTGTGGTGGATTGACCTTGGTGAGTTGCCAGGTACCCACCAAGCCACACTCCCCATCCTTAGCAGGACAGGGAGAGAAAATTAGATTAAAAACTCATGAATTGAGATAAAAGCAGTTTAATGGAAAAAAAGCAAAGGTTGTGCATGAAAGCGAAGCATAAAAAGGTTGATTTTTTTATGTCCCATTAGCAGGCGACATCCAGCCACCTCAGTACGTGCGGTGGTTGCTTTGGAAGACAAATGCCTTAATAACAAATGTAGTCATCCCCCTCCGCCTCTCCTTCAGCTTTCATTGCTGAGCACACCACCACACGGCACGGAGCATCTCCGGGGGCAGTCGGGGTGAGCTGCCCTGGCTGTGTCCCCCCCCAGCCTCTCCGCTGGCCCCTGCGGGGAGGCCTGATGCTCAGGAGCACCGCGCCGTGGAGGCCGAAACACCGCTGTGGCGTGACCACCCTCCGAGCTACAAACGCCGAGCACGGCGCTGCACAGGCTGCTACAGGGGGTTACCTCCACCCCAGCCAGGCCCGACACACGTGGACAGCAACAAGAAGCAGCAAAGCATTTTCAAAATTTCAGTCCCTCGGATCCAATGTAGTCCATACAACTGACTCACGATTTACTTAACAGAAATAGTTTATTAAAAAAAAAAACCCAACCCTAAACCCTCATCTTGAAGGGTGTTTACACCAGCTTTATAATTGCACAGGTAATATAGCTTTTACAGCACTTAATGAAAGAGCCAGACTACCAAATTATTTGCTGATACCTTAAGTGATCGCACTGCTTTGTAAGTTGATGCTAAGCTCTACACTAGGTATTTGCAAGTCTTGATCATTTTTATGGAAGTCTTCAGGAAGCTCAAGCCTCATTTAGTTTCCCTGCTAGAGCATATATGAAGGCAAAGTAACAGCAGACATGTTCAGTGAGAGCCAGAGACTGCACAATCCCGTCTCTTCGATGGAGAAAGTAAAAATGCAAAGTCATGGCTGCAGCTACTCAACATATTCAGTGCTTCTCTGACATGCTGGGGCATTAGCTGATAAACCCTTCTGGCCTTTTACTTGATTAGTTCTGATGGTTACAGCTTTAGAACTGCACTTCTTGGGGAGTGGGGTGTACTGAGGTAGAGAGGAGTATGTCTAGGTTTTGGCTCCTTCAGGAGGAACGGTTCCCTCACTGTGAATACAATACTGTACTTTTAAAGCATCACTTGGAAAATAGTGGTGACATTTTAAGAAGGTTATTGAAGCAGTGAGCTGAGGACAGATACCTGAAAAATGTTGTTATTGGTTTGTGTGGCAAGGTTTTGGTAGTGGTGAGAGGTACAGGGGTGGCTTCTGTGAGAAGCTGCCTGAAGTTTCCCCCACCTGACAGAGCCAATGCCAGCCCACTCCAAGATGGATCCACCGCTGGCCAAGGCTGAGCTCAGCAGCAACGGTGGGAGCGTCTCTGGGATAACATATTTAAGAAGGGGGGAAACAAAACTGCAACTTCAGCCCGAAAGAGGAGTGAAAGTATGTGAGAGCAACACCTCTGCAGCCCCCAGGGTCAGTGAAGAAGGAAGGGCAGGTGGTGCTGCAGGCACCGGAGCAGAGATTCCCCGGCAGCCCGTGGGGCAGCCCATGGCGAGGCAGGCTGTGCCCTGCAGCCCAGGGAGGGCCGTGGGGGAGCAGATCCCCACCTGCAGCCCGGGGAGGACCCCACAGCAGAGCAGGTGGGTGTCCAAAGGAGGCTGTGACCCTGTGGGGAGCCCACACTGGAGCAGGCTGCTGGCAGGACCTGTGGACCCATGGAGAGAGGAGCCCACGCTGGAGCAGGTTTGCTGGCAGGACTTGTGACCCCGTGGGAGGGACCCACGCTGGAGCAGTTTGTGAAGGACTGCACCCTGTGCAAAGGGCTCATGTTGCAGAAGTTTGTGGAAGTGTCTGCCGTGGGAGGGACCCCACACTGGGGCAGGGGAAGAAGAGGAAGGAGTGGTAGAGATAGCGTGTGATGAACTGACCACAACCCCCATTCCCCGTCCTGCCGTGCCACTGGTGAGGAAGAGGTAGAGAAGTCAGGAGTGAAGTTAAGCCTGGGAAGAAGGGAGGGGTAGGGGGGGGGAAGGTGTTTTAAGATTTAGTTTTTATTTCTCATTATCCTACTCTGATTGGATCAGTAATAAATTAAATGAATTTTTCCCCCAAGTCGAATCTGTTTTGCCCTTAACGGTACCCGGTGAATGATCTCTCCCTGTCGTTATCTCAACCCATGAGCCTTTTGTTATATTTTCTCTTCCCTGCTCAGTTGAGGAGGGGGAGTGAGAGGCTTTGGTGGGCACCTGGCATCCAGCCAGGGTAAACTCAGCACAGCTATCAACTAAGTAAAAGGTAAGAGGCAAGGTCCTGCCCATTACTGGCTCAACCGCTTTATTCTTCAAGCAGCATTCCTTGTGAAGCTGTAAGGTCCTAGCCCTTACATCTTATTTACAGGGTAAAAGTTGACAATGCAATTCAATCTGAAGTCTTTGGCACTTCTTGAATTACAGAGCAGAATTCATTCCTGTATACTATGACATTTAATAACAGTGGAATAGTGGGTTTAGTTCTCCTAGTAGAGTTGAAGGTATTAGAACATCTTCCAGCTTCAATACTGAAAACTGTATTTTTGGGTCAAACTATTACTCTTCAGATTTTTCAACTGTATCCGTAGAAAATTGAAAATAAGTACAAGTTTCATGACACTGATGGAGTCCATGTCCATATCCATACTTGCATACTACTATAAATTTACTCCTTTACAAAATTCAAGCCCAGGAGATGGAGTTTTATAGAAAAGATCTGACTTATCTATCTTATCATCCCAGAAAGAAAACAGGCTTTTAGAAGTTTTGGAAAGAACTTGCAGTTTCAGGTAGTACTTCAGAATATTAGACGCTCTAGTCTAATGCATCAAGCAACATGACACCCAAATTATACCAAGTTTGGTGCCACTTAAAAAAACCCCAAACCGAAAACATTTCAGAAAAGTGAAAATTGAAGGCAAGCCATCATTTACAGAGAAAAGTCATACAGAGAATGCCTTGCAAACTGCTTTCCATTTTCTTCACTAACTTTCATGGTTTCTCTTGTATAGTGAGCCAGAAATCACTTTGTTCTTCTTGATGTTGCAGTGCTTTTGAAAGGATCAAATTCATCCTGCAATTTAAAAACAGATATGCATTACTAGAACTAGCATGCATCCCGAGTCATAAAAAGTCAACTTCAGATTAAACTAGAAAGCCTGGCCCCATTATTCCATGTTTTCTGGTGCTTTTTCTGGTTTTGATATGAAAGAGACTATCCATTGATTTAAGAGTGCAGACATCAGACGTGCAGGGAACTGAAACTGAGTTTACAGCAATATGATCAGAACAGTTACTTTGAAATGAGGAACAATCTATATTTCAGCCATGACCCAGGAAAATGTTATCTTTATGAGCAGCACATAGCTCAATAAAGTTATGTCCATATACATATCATACATCTTAATTTACGGAGATTTGCATGAATCAAAAATACTGTTTCTTTTTGCATGTTCAAGCAAACATGTAGTTTTGTATTTCAGGTACAAGAAGGGATAGCACAGTGGAGAAAAGGCACAAAATATAACATCTTCTCTGAAGTGGCCAACACCTGACATTGCTAAGGCTAGGATCCTGACCACCCACGACAGTCTGTGAAAACAAACTGCACAGTGCTTGACAGTATAACGTGTATTCTGTTCAGTGCAAAACTCTGAATAAAGTTCTGTTTTAACTAGGGAAGAAACCATTCCTCAGCAGTTCAAATATATACTGCAAGAACAGAAATCTTAAACTTGAAGATAGTGCTTTAATTTTTTTAAAACTGTATTTACACAATTTGCAACAATAAAACAATAAAGTGCCCTGGAAAATAGCCATTTTAAAATGCAAAAAAAAAAATAAATTTCTTCCTTTTTACAAGAATAAAATACATAAAAAAATGAAAAGACCTAGCCAAGCACTAGAAGAGATTACGATTACTTTCTTCTCCAGGAAAAATAACTTTTCCCACACATTTCAGGAATTACAATTAGCTAATTAAGAACTGAAGGGAAAAAGGACTAGATATTTTCCTGAGGTCCCTTCTAGCCTTATTTTTGATCATTATGCATATACTCTAATTAAAGCTGGTTGCAATAATCTACCCCTCCTAGTGAAAAAAAATAAATTCAGTTTTACTCTGGAATGCTTTATTCAAATAGCTGTAAAATAGTAAGCTATAGAAACTTACACAAAATAAAAGAAAAAAAGACCACTAGATACCACACCTCATCTGACTCAAAATCCACTCCTCTAGATGTTTGGCTTTGTGAACCTCTTTTACTAAGTGAAGATGTAGTTGACAACCTTGAAACATACAAAGAGAAAAAAATCAGCGTGTGCTCAACAACCAGACATTCCAAGAACTTTCCCTTCAACTTAGATGTGGAACACCAATACAGAGATTAAGAACGAATAGAAATTACAATAAGAAGAACAATGCAAATTCTCAAACTAACTTTAACTCTAAAGCTCTGACCTAGCTTATCTCAATCAGTAGACCAATTTATTGTCATAGAAAAATCATCCACATTAATGGGTAAAAATGCATATACATTTTCTAAGTAGTGCTATGACTTTTTTAAAAATCTGTTTTTTCAGGTAGTGGATCAGATCCCTGGGCTCTGCTGATTGCCTAGCAGAAGTAAGGCAGTCATTGTAGCATTTATGAAGTAAACATACTGACCTCTGATTTACTCTGGAAGAAGGAACAAAAGAAGTATCTTCTAGATCAGAATCATCTATAATATCCTGAAAAAAATATATAATTTATAAAGCTTTTCCACATAATTTAGTCTTACAGAGCTGTAGTGTATAATACTACAGTACTACAGCATAGAAACTTTGGGTTTTTTTCCAACTAAATACTTAGTTATAATATACACTTGACAGGGCTCCAGGCTAGAACTGTACAATGTGCAAATACAGCAGAAGTTTTGCTCTTCAGATTTTTAATCTTGCAGAAACCCCCCAAATACTCATGTAAATACACAATGTATCTCAGACTATGGTCACAAATAAAACACAGTCTTTGTTTTTCTCAGACAAACACCATACCAAAAAAGGGTACAAAAGGTCTACAAATTAACATGCAGAAACTTTCTGCTGGAACTGATAGCTTGGGAACATCTGCTGGTTTAGACTAATGTTTTGACGTTATATTTATTTTTCAAATCAGAAGACAGCAAAAGGCAGCACAACTTCACTCATACAAGATGCTTCTTACCTCAGAGTATGATTTAGATGAATTCAAGGAGGTCTCTGGTTTCAAAGACCTAAAGGCTAGAATAAAACAAATGTAATATTTTTAAAGTGCTCACACAATAAAATGCAAAGTTATATCATTCTTTTTATTTAAGACCTACTTAGCATGCATTTCCTCTCCAAAATATCCTGTAAAACAAACAAGCAAACCCCCCCAAACCAAAACATAAATGAAGCCTTTGCTAGAGTCTGACAACCCAGAGATCTAACCCTCTGTGTAGCAGCAGGGTGCTTCCCCATCTGGCTGAAAAACCTTCAGTAACTTTGGTTAAGAGGAAGAGAAAAATGTCTAACAGTTTAGACATCAACACATCTGCTAAAATTGAGTTCTCTGCAGTATTTTAGGTTATTTGCTGACCAATTTAAACTTGAGGTAATTTGCTGCTTAATTTAAAACTTGCTCTACACCTTTGGGTATTTTGTGGGTATTCCTGTACAGATTTGTGATCAGTATATTTTTCTTTAATATTCAGATTACCTATGCCGTTTCCTCAGAGCCTGTCCTCTGTAGCAACGATGAGCTACTCTCACATATATGGCTTAAAGTACAGATAAGTTTCTCTTCCCTAGTAAAATCTGGCATTCCTAAAACTTGCTACAATGTAAGACTAAATGGATTTGCATTAAAGCTTACTGACTTGCAAACATCAGTCAAGTTTAAACTTTTTATCCACTGAAGAATATTCCACATAAAATAGATACTATTAAGTCACAGTTGTTCTATGCTTATCCCTTAAGGAACTGCATACAGTAAGATGTTCCCTATTTCCAGTTATAGTCAGAAATATCTGACACATTTAATTTTACTCCATGACAGCAGGGGTTCACTTCTTTTTTCCCCTCCATTTTTCTTTCTCTCATCACTCTTAATTAATCTATTGCATTAGAACCAAAAGAATCTCTCACAGCTGAATTGGACTAATAGAAATAAAGACAGTTAAGGCACTTAATCACTAGATAAACACCTTCATTGCAATCTGAGAGAGCAGATTAGAGTAATGGACAGATCAAATGCCTACCATCCACGATAGACATATTCTTGGCAGGCACAGATACAGGTTTGTAGGTTTTGCTGCTAGTAGCTGACTCTTGGCTAGTGCTTCCTGTAGGGATAATAAACAACATGCAAATATGTTCATTAGAAATTTTTTTCCCCCTTTAGCCTATCATTACTGAGTATGAATTCACTTAAAAACTTACAGTACCTCTTTACTCCTTCTCCTTCCTCCTTGAATCAAAGCCCTCCTTACGTGCAGAACTGCTCTGGGTCAAGTGTTCAAAGCTACACACACACACACACACACACACACACACACACCCCACACCCCTGCTCTGATGGGATCACAACAGTGTTGGAGCAGAGGCTCATAGAAACACTTTAAAATCATCCTGCTCTTAGATCTTTTGGTCATATTAATGAGACAACTCACGGGAATATATTACTGCAAGACTTCATCTTTTCTTTTTATACTCACACATATATGTAATGGAAGTACCGCTATCACTGTAAAGTGCACAGATCACACATAGACAAGGAGCTATTTAGTTAATTTTGCTTAGGAATTACTCCCAATTTTCTCAGTCACTAGAAAGAATGAAGTCTCTTGTGTTAGGACAGAGGCAATCTGTATGACCCCCACCCTATACTGACCAAATACATCACCTTTAGCAGTAACAAAGGTTTATCCATGCACTTCATTGCACAGACCTGCCCAATAATGCATCTTTGAAAAGTCTACTATGTTTCCATAGCTGGGAAGCAAGATATTTTTTTAATCGCCCTGTGAAAAAGTCACAACTTAAGCCTTGTAAGGCAGTCAACTGTATGTAATATGATAACAAAAATATTTGCAAAGAATTTTTTTTCCAGTAGGAGTCCTTAAGCAACAGATTTCCACTTGATGAAAACATCAAAAGAGAGTTGCCTTTTAAAGGAAAAAAAAAAAAAAAAAAAGCCAGTAACTGCAATACAAAGAATGTGAAGTTTTTCTTACCTCTTCCCCTTCGAGATGAACCTCTTGCTGTTGAATTTTGTCCTCTTGTACCTCTTCCCCTACCTCTCGTGTAACCCCTTCCTCTGCTCAGTGTTGCAGGAAGGCCATCATCTGAATCACCAGTGCCTTTCATCCCCATATCCATGAGTTCTTCATCACTGGAGGCTGCAATAAGAACTGCATCCTCAGATCTGTGGGCTCTAGCTCTGGTCATTGCCTGAAATGGAACAGTATAAGTGGTATAGGAAAAAGAATCTTGAATGATGAAATGCACCATTGCTAAATCCTAGTTGTGATGTATAGTTCTAAACCACTGAAGCTTAGAAGACCCAAATCCACAGTGTTATGGAAGGCAAGGAAGTCTGTCAAAAAGCAGGGACAATATTTAGTCTATTTAATTTAGATGTGTACATATCATAGAATTATAGAATGGTTTTAGTTGGAAGGGACCTTAAAGATCATCTAGTTCCAAACCCTGCCATGGGCAGGGACACCTTCCACCAGCCCAGGTTGCTCCCAGCCCCGTCCAACCTGACCTTGAACCCTTCTAGCGAGGGGGCAGCCACAGCTGCTCTGGGCAACCTGTGACAGTGTCTCACCACCCTCACAGGGAAGAATTTCTCCCTTATATCTAATCTAAATCTACCCTCTTTCAGTTTAAAACCATTGCCCCTTATCCTACCACTAACCTTCCTGATAAAGAGTCCCTCCTCATCTTTAGCTCCCTTTTAAGTACTGGAAGGCAGCTCTAAGGTCTCCCTGGAGCCTTCTCTTCTCCATGATGAACGACCCCAACTCTCTCAGCCTGTCCACACAGGGCAGGTGCTCCAGTCCCCTGACCATCTTTGTTGCTTCCTCTGGACCCGTGTGAGCAGGTTCATGTCCTTATGTTGGGGGCCCCAGAGCTGGACACAGCACTGCAGGGGGGTCTCACAAGAGCAGAGTAGAGGGGGAGAATCACCTCCCTCGACCTGCTGGCCACATTTCTCTTGGTGCAGCCCAGGACACGGTTGACTGTCTGGGCTCTGAATGCACATTGTTGGCTCACAGTCAGTTTTCCATCCACCAGAAACCCCAAGTCGTTCTCTGCAGGGCAGCTCTCAATCCACTCATTACCCAGCCTATATTTGTGCTTGGGATTGCCTTGAGCCATGTGCAGAACCTCACACTTGGCCTTGCTGAACTTCATGAGGTTCACACAGGCCCACCTCTCCAGCCTGTCAAGGTCCCTCTCGATGGCATCCCTGCCCTCCAGTATGTTGACCACACCACACGGGTTGGTGTTGTCGGCAAATGCCAAGGGTGCACTCACTCCCACTGTCCATGTCACCAACAAAGATGTTAAACAGCGCCAGTCCCAATACTGACCCTCGAGGAATGCCACTTGTCACTGCTCTCCACTTGGACATCGAGCTGTTGACCGCAACTCTCTGAGTGCAACCATCCAGCCAATTCCTTCTCCACTGACTGGTCTATCCAATGTCAAATGCCTTGTACAGGTCCAAGTAGATGACATCAGTTTCTCTTCCCTTATCCACCAGCACTGTAACCCCGTCATAGAAGGCCACCAAATTTGTCAGGCACAATTTGCCCTTAGTGAAGCCATGTTGGCTGTCACCAATCACCTTCTTATTTTCCATGTACTCTGGCACAGTTTCCAGGAGGATCTGCTCCATGATCTTGCCAGACACAGAGGTGAGACTGACTACATAAATTGAGCTAAGCTCTTGATAACAGAATGAAGCTAGTTAATATGATACATTGTCAGTGGAGTTCAGTGAACTGTTCAGGTCATCCTATGTCAGCTATGTACATCTGCTCAGAGGAAGCACCTTCTGAGCTCCATTGGCTTGATCTTCACTGATGACAGTGGGTGCCTAAGACAACTAGTTCATGTGGAGATATCTCAGATTAGGAGAACTGAATCTCAATCCAGATTTCCTTTTTCTCAAAATTTCATTCCAGTCCCACATATCTTGCAAAGATAAAGAAACATCAATGCTGCCAGTGGTTGGCAATTCCCTTTGGAAAGATATACATGATTTAGATATGAATCTTTGGGAGATATAAGACTCTAAAATCTAAGATTGCTGATGAGGACAATAGTACCTAAAGGTTTACAAATAATACCGATTTGTTCCAATAATACCACTCAATACAGTCCATCCACAATGGGATCATAAACAGTTTAAGCTGACAGATCTCCGAAGGTCACCTGCCTGGTCTAACCCCAGTTCAAAGCAAGAACAACTGAACAGTCAGGTTCACAAATTTGCACAAGAAAGAGATCTCAAAAGCCAAACCAAGCAGTAGCTTGGGCACATATTACACCAAGGACAATTTAAAAAAGACTTACAGTAATCTTCCCTAGGCGGACAGGCACTTTTTGGTAAGGACAATGTTGAAGTATTGCTAAGTGACTTCATTTATAGGCAGAAGTCAGCATTCCATTCTTCAGCCTATGTTCAAAATTCAAAGGAGTTACCTCACGAACTTCCTCATCCTCTTCTTCGGTGTTCTTTTTTCTACTTTCCCTGAATTTTCGCACCTGAATAAATAAGAGCTCCTATCAAAATAACAGTTTATTTCATACCATAATCAAAATACAGTGAGAAGTCTTGATCCCTGAATTTTTAAGTCAGGTTCATGTGAGAGGTGAAGAAGAGCACAAAAACAACTGAACAGTTTTTTTAGAGCCTTTTCATACTGTCCTGCTGTTTAAGAATCTTGCATTCTATTAATAACTGGAGGTACATCAAAGCCTGGGACATGATGAAAAGTAGGAGATACTATGTTCAAGAGGAGAGCATGTGTAATTTGACAGTAAGGGACACTGAAATAGGAGTAACTGGAAAAGAAAGGGTAGAGATGAAGAAGCAAGACAGACAACAACGATATTGAGACAAACATTGCAATACACATACAACTAAGAAAGCTCAACTTGTCAAGTATGGAAGAACATATGACGGGTGAGAGGGAAAGAAGGTATTAGTCCAAAATACAGACAAAAAATACGCCCAAAGAGGCACAGAAAGCCTACAGGCACCAATTGTTTATACTGTCTTTCAACCCCTCATGAATTAAAGGCATCATCAAGAAAATAGGTAGGTGCAACCTTCCTCCCCCATTAAATTATTCTTTACACCATGCCCAGTGAAGATGCAGAACAATTTGTCATACAATGCTTTAATATTACAAGTGAATACATGGGCTCTTATGGAAGCTCAACAAGTTGGCAGAGAAGCCTATTAAGGGTTAATAGATACACATAAACCCCGTTTGTCTCTGGGAAACCCTGAGCTGCAAGCAGTTAGAAGCCAGTAGAGCACCTGAAGGCTAAGTTTCCTTTACGCTTGCCCTGTTCTTGTACTCCTCCCTAAACCAATATGAAAAAGCTAAGAGATTATATCTACCATCTTTCTCACAGTAGACTACATATAATGTAGAACTATATATATATATATATGAGTGGCAGATCTTTCTATGCATGCATGTGCAAATAAAGTGAGAATCCATTTAAGCATACCTAAATCCCACCTTCAGTACAAGCTTTTAAACTATGTATTTGAAACTTCATCACCGTATTTATTAATTCCATAAAATTACCAGAGGTGAGTGTTACACATGCTTCACACAGAGACAAATCTATTAAACCAGGTTTGAACACTCTTTTTTCTACTATCTTTCTTGACTTCTCCTAAGGAATTAACAGGATATTACCTCCTCATCTATTTTTTCTTCCTCTGCATCGGTGCGACGCTCCTTAAGAAACCTCTGTGTTTTTTCTAGTTGAAATTTCACCAATTCTTCTATGGCATCTTTCTCCTCTTTGTCCACAAATTCCTGCACTGCTTCTCCCATTCCTCTTTCAGTTAGAAGTGAAAGCTGTACTTTCTTTATAATTGGGGAAAACATTTTGTTAAGAAGTATCTGTCATCAAAGAAAGCGAGTAGTATTCCTGTTGTTTCAGATAAATATTACATTAAGTTGGTTCCAAAAACATTAACATGCATTGAAGATTTCAATCAGAGAAAAGCACAGCAATAAGCAAACATATTAATTAGCATAAAATAATAAATCATCATATAATATTTCCAGACTTATAAAAGTTTCCTAAACAGTAAATAAACTACAGTGCTAGTCATACCTAAAATAACTTGTCTGAAATGCAGTGCTGAGAGAAAGTAAACTGTATTCTTTCCTAGTTCCCCTCCTTTTTTTAAACTAAAGTTAAAATCAACTCACAGAGACATAAAAGCGCTATTAAAAACAAGCCCTGAATTGTTATAGATGCTAAATTATTTAGTTTTACTGTAAAAAGCTAACATTAAAAAATAGCAGTTACATAGCAGGGCAAATTATTATTATGAAGCAGTAAGAGCTATTAAGAAGTCTACTCTACTGAAATGCAATTCTGTAAATACCAATAGTTCTCAGACGTTCATGAAGTGAGATGATAATTCATCAAGATATACTACATTAAGATATTACTACAGACACTAACTAGTAAAGGTAGTAGACACTACTGGTGGTGTTTTGTAGCCATTGTCTTTGCTACCCCCGTTCCCAATACAGTGAGACATTCTGAGAATGAAATCCCCATATGGATAGTAATGTTTAAATAGCAGCAGCCTCTTCTGTCTGTAAACTACAGCACAGATAATTTCTCAGTAATAAGCATTATATATCCTTATTATTGATTTTTGATCCTTCCAGACGTCCTTTAGGAACTGTTTTGAGGGTTGCATTGGAAGCATAAAGCCTTTCCTGAAATAATGCTGTGTAGAGGAAGAAGTTTTACAGCTATTACAAAACATGAAGTTTACAAAAAAATAACATAAGCTTCTCAAAAGAGTGACTGATTGTAATGATGCAGAATGTCCATGTTGACTTTCAGCACTTAAGCTTTCTTTCAAAGGAAAAAAAAAATAAGAGACAAACAGCAGTGATTTTAATTCCTGGGCCTCAGTTTACCAGAGACACTGGAACTAAATGGAGTCTGGTACTTGTTAGACATTTTCTCTATAACATTTTTTGAACATTCAGCTACAGCCCCGTGACACCTCGTGGTCCAAGGACTCTTTTTTTTTCCCCTTATCAGACAAGATCAAGTGTCTAAAAGCCTGAAGTACAAGCTATCTTAACACAACATTTAAGATCTCCATCATTATATTAGGACACAATATACTTCCCCTTCCCCCCCCACCTCCTTTCATTACCAGTGTTAGCTTAAAATGTATTATTCCCCTACCACAAGCCTTCCCAGAACATCAGTGGATTCTTTCAAGTTTTCACAGATATTGAGCTACTGAAGCATGCCTCAAAGGCAGGGACCAGTAACTGACCTGTTTGTACGAGAACATACAGACAAGTTGGGAAGCTGGTGTAACAGGGACAACTTAGTAGAATAGGGGAGGAAAAGAGATTAAAAGCAAAATTACCTTTTCATAGAATAACATAATGCCCTGTCTTTGACACTGCTAGCCCTCCCCACAGGATTGAGGCATGGCATACATTTGAGGAAATACCTACTTCTGCACTAGTTACCCTGGGTTCCCTATCATATTCAGAAGGCAAACAGCCTTTCCAGGGCATGATTTATGCCACCCTAATACTGACACTAACATCTATCAAAGGTTAGGCAAGATGATATAACCTGTGGGATCTTTACCTCAGGAATGCTTGCACTAATGACTTTCTATAAAGCATGTTCTGAAATAGGTTCCGAGTGTTAGGCTTGATCATCTATATCAAGCATTTGAGCATCTGACTCGCTGGTTATTATTTTTTATCTCTGAGACATCACTGCCTTAGTGTTGGGAAAAGGAAGTAAATCAGGTTTAATAAAAAGGTGGAGAGAAAGCAAACTATAGGGGGCCTCTCTTCCTTCTCCCTGATCTGCTTTAAATATAATGTGGAATTGCACTGTCTGAGGACACCAATATACTGCAAAGTAACAAGTTACTCCAAGTCAGCTAGTAACAGTAAACGGTACAGTCTCACATTGACCCTATAGTAAATTAAAGTAGCTTCTCACTCAAGAGCATGCTGCCTCACATTTTCCTCCCATAAGAACATGACACATTTAGTACAGGACAGACACTGCAAATTCACATGAAGAGTTATCATAATGTTCTCAACCCAACATGTGTTCACATAACCTATCCAACCTATAAACAACGGTTACTTGTTAACCAAAGACATACACTCCATACAGGAATTCATATACAGTTATGTAGAAAATAAATTCACTTCTTGGTGAATGTCAGTCTTTTCAGGGCACACTAGTTCCATTAAGAAAGGCAACAAAGATAAAAAGATTATATTCCATTAAAACAAAAAATCATAAGAGGTAGAGAGATACCTTCTCTGCTGTCTGAAAATATTGCTTTACAAGGTCTTCCACCCTCAGTGTCATCCCCTCGGGAGCAGGTCTGGTAACCAGTTTTCCAAAATTAAGATCGTTGTCTAGAAGAGAAAAGCACAGTGGCAGAGTCACCCACTTTTCCAACTTTTAATTATTATCATTCCACTGAAAGTAGCAGGAAAAAAGGTTAAGATAGGCTTCTTAAGATGTGTGGTCTGTTTTATATGTAAAGGTTTTTTGTTCTAACTGTAGAGCTACTGTCTGGAAACACAGGTAAACATAACGGATGCAATAATTGTACAAGACAACTCCACTTCTAGCAGATACAAAATGTACTTTTAACTACCAAATATCTGGAATTATGAATTGAAATTTTTGTCCTGAAGGTTATTGTAACTGAACTGTAGAAGATCACAAATGGAAGAAAACAAAAAGACCCATCAAAGCACAACGGTTTTTATAAGTAACTCCATTACTAAAGAATAAATTTTCCTTCAAAGCAGGTTGACTAATTTTCAGCACAGAATGTTCATAGCTCATTAAGGCTGCCCCCCCATTCTTGGGCAGTAAGGTAGGAACGACAGAAGAATGAAAGGGATCATCAGCTGAGGTTACAACAAAGTAATATAATGACTACAGACTGCTTCCAGACATCTGCCACATGCAAAACCAAAACACTCTTTTGTTAGCCTTGTTATATAAGCAGCTATAACAAAAGAAACAACTTCTGAACTCATGAAGTTCTCATATCACCTGTACTGAATTGTACTAAAAATTCTGACTGCTTTATTAGCCACCTATCTTGTATTAATGGATATCTAATAAAGCAATGCAAAGAACCATAGTATTCTTTTAGCACTCCTTTCCTGAAACCGAGATGCACGTTAAGTATGAAAATTAAAACATATTGATGAAACATGGTGACAGATGCGGGAGCTATCTTGTATTCTGAAAATGTTAATGAGATTACACAACTAGTAAAAAAACAACAAAGCAAAATAAAACGAGATCAATACAGCATAATTAAAAAAAACTCACTAAAAGCAGTTTTTATTCATGAAACATGATGTTTTGAACTTTATAAAACCGACAGTGTGAGTAAAAACTGTCAATGGAATTGGAGTACTTACAACACACTAATGTGAAATACTAACAGTTCTTTAGCACAGTATGTTCTTGAGCAAGCTGTGTCTTCATTAGTGACTATTACAAATCCAGTATTTGGGCAACATCTATTAACCATTTATTAAAAATTCTAGGCACAATGAGAAATGCTACAATAGTAACAGCTATTATTTGTTTTGCCCAAATGCTTGAATAGAGACATACCTGGAACATACTAGCCCAGAGCATCTCACACACATGATTAATTAGGGCAAACAAAATGCTGTGGTACATTCAGACCTTTTTTTTTTTTTTTTTTTTTAAATATACAAACATCTCTCAAAACCATCCCCTCCATTACTATTTTCGGTATAAAAAAATTAATTACTACAGCAATAGTATTAGAAAACAAAGGCACAACACCCATCTCTTTTCCTGCAGAATACCCCAAACCAACCACCTCATTCTGAGAAGTCTCTGGACTGAGATGTTCAATGACTTTCACGGTAAGTATCACAGAGCCATGAAGTACCTCAGTCTGGTATGGGGCTATGTGAATTACTGTAAGCAACTCAGTAAGGCTTGAGGCCAAAGAAAAGGGAATTATTTATGAACAACTGTCAGAAGATGCTGTGCTGAATAACAGAATTTTAGACAAACCCAGAAATAGAACAGAAACACTCGTGCAATATATACACTTAAATAAGACTATGCATCTTTACTCTTCCCATAACATGTTAGACGGCAGACACCAAACATCTGCAAATCCTAGGTAACAAAATAAAGGAATAAGAATGAAAACCAAGGCAAGTCAATGATTCCTTCCTTTATAATTACCATTTTTCTCCTTTTGTTCACGATGCCTGAAAAAGTATATGATGTCTTTTGGGTTAGCCACCCTATCCATGTACTTCTGGCTAAAACGATGGACACTGAATGGTTCAAAGCCACCTGCATAATCAACCTAAGAGAGGAAACAATTTAAATATGAAATAAACAGAAATATAGAAACCACACAAATCGAGTTTGTTACCCTGCAAAGGAAAAATTAAAGTAAAAAATAAGTCAACCTATAATGAATGCTTTACCATACTATGCAGAATAGTTAATGGATAATAATAACTAATAATAATATTAACAGAATAGCTAATAACAGCCCAGATTCATAACTTGTTCCTAACTTGTTTCATTTACTAGTTTTCAGGAAAGTTTCCATAAATTAGGTTGGGAACAAGCACAGGATAATATGTCTTAAGAAAAACTCTGTAAATAGCCACTATTGATGCCCTTAGACCAGCAGTGGTAAGTACATAAGTACAGTTATAAGTACACTTATGATCAATCTCATCCTTTACCACAGAATACTAGTTCCACCACAGGTAAATAGAATCACGGTATGAAGTCAATTTATATTTGCCTGTACACACTAAGAAATTTTATATATTATGTGCTTATACAAAAACCATGACTTTGCTTTGAAACTTTTCACAGTGGGCTTTCTAAACAAAGTAATCAAAGCTGAACAATTTCTCACTCGTAATCTTATGAGAGGCTTCTCTGGCTGGCGTGGATTTCCCAAGCGTTCTCTTTCTGCATTGTCCAGCATCGATTCAACCTGTGAAGCAGAATTAGAAATTCAGTTCCACTTTGTTCTCTTACAAATGCCCGAGCCCTTCAAGTATAACTTAAAATACATTCAGCTGCAGGGGGGAGCTATAAAATAAATAATTATAGGATATGCTCTCATTCCTGAACACACATATGTACCAGTATCCAGCCAAAAACTGTAAGAATGAATGAGAAAAAAGTCATAATGAACCTCTTATCTTTCAAATATAGCATATTCCAGCAGATTCTACATCACTGATCATTCATACTATTTTACTTTATAGCCATTACCCTTTGCTAAATTTCTAGTTCCAGGAAAAAGCAGCGACTTCTACACACCTAAGAACCAAGAGCTATTAATAAACCTGGTTAGCTACTTCTGCCACTTCACACTGCACAGCCCAGCTCTTGGGGTTTAGGTGCATGTATTTATGCTGATTTCAAAGTGTACATCCAACACTGCCCTGCTCTTAGGCGGAAGTTTTTGTACAAAGATGATACAGACCACCATAAAGCTGTTCCAGCCTAGTTTAATAGGTCATCCCAGTCAATGCATCTGGAACCCAAGGCTGCAGTGAATGTCATGCAATTAGCTTCCTAGGGAAACACTGCCTAAGCTTGTCTCCAGTAATACGGGGCAAGACACAAGATTTCTCATCTTCTAGTCTCAAAACCAGTCAGATTTCATTCCCTGTCCATACACTGTTATCCATATACTGTTAGCATTACAAGTTACCTTTTCCATGCAGAATGCTTGTATTGCCTGAGTTACTTTAGGATTGTCAGGATTAAAAAGATCTGGATGATCAGCTAGAACAACATCCTCCATATGGAAAGTTCGCACTGTCTCTAGAGCAATCTTCTGCATTTTCATTTTTTTCCCTTTAACATGCAGCAAACCAATGTGTCTAGAAGGAGAAAGATAACTTACTAGAAGATAAACTTAGAACTACAGTATTTGTTTTAAATTAATGTTTAATTTTCAGGGACAAATGTTGAAAAGCTATAGGAAGTTCTTGGATCTATACTTCAGGGTTAGCCCTGCCAAACTTCAATTCAATTATATTTAGGCTGTGCTTGTTCTATGCACAAGCACGTGTACACAGTTCCTTGTATTCCAATTTATCAGGGTGTTACTCCTCTTAGGATTAAACCTAACATTTGAAGCAAATGGAACTTACCTGAGTAAAGCAAAAGTTATTCTAGGTGCTGATTCCATATACTTCATTTGTTATTTATACACTGAAGCTAATCCACACTATAATACAAGTCCTTTCATACTTAATATAAGTGTTTTTCCTTTCTCAATGCAACACATGAGAGCTTTTACACAAGCAATAATCAAGAACAAAAAGAAAAGATCACATACTTCTTCACAGCTTCTCCAGGGGACAGAGATGTTACCACTGAACTTCCTGGCTGAGAAACATAGAAATTTTGCTGTTCATTTTGGGATGGAGCTATTTTGCACTCATGTTCATGACCCCACACAACAAGATTTATAAAATCATCTAAAAACTGCTCTGGAATGTAGTTTGTAGCTCCATGTTTGCTCCTGTTCAAGAAAAGAGAAAAATAATTGGAATGTGTACAGTCATGAGTGGGCAATGGGGGAGTGAAGGAGGGAAAAAACATCAGTGTGATTTGAAGTGATACAGAAACTCCAGCAAATATATCTGATGTACATTTCATATCAGATACTCTCCACATTTATTCCTTATACAATTGTTTAAAGTCTTTGGTTAAACAAAAAGGCAACTTATGCAGCCCGTTCTTTTCTGCTTCCCTCCTTTTATTTGGATCTCCCTTCTTACTTGGCTTGCAAGACTTTAGGGTTTTTTCCATATGAATGCTTTATAGTACCTCATGGCCTTTTTTTTTTTTTTTTTTCAATGGTGGGATAAAACCCACTGAATTAAAACAGACATGGGACACACTCCAACCATTCCCAGAAGATAGAGGAGATGGAGGAGGAGTGAGCTCCTTCAGCCTGCTGGACAGAGATCAGTACACAGCGTTATCTGAGCTGTGTTTGTTTACTTCTGCCTCATCGTTACTTGCACTCAAGGATTGCACTCTTACTCAAAAAAAATTGTAAAAAAAGGATTTGGAAAAGAACTTTGCCTATTCCTACTACCACTGCTGGGAGAAGTGTGTAGGCAGAGGGAACACATGCTACCTATCCTATTCAAGATGAACTGTAAAGTATAGCAGTACAAGGAAAGATACGGTACCTGTGAAATTATGGTTCAAACAAGGATAGAAAATAAAATATAAACTTTAATGCTCTTTCACCTCTAACAAGCAGACAAGGCAATTACATACATATTACACTACAAATCCTTCACTTCCCCTAACTGTAAGAGTTTGGGAAGAGATTTCCCAACATTCTTAACTCATTTATTTAAACATTTTGATTCTTCATAAAAGGAGCCACAAAACAATGCTTTTATTTGGGAGAATCTTAAGAAACCAGCTACTCACAAGAAGCACCAACTAGCATATCTGGCTTTCTCACCTATCCTTTTCAAGGCAGTTTAATGAAGTAACACTTCAACAGTTTAAAAGTCACCATAATTCATTCAATACTGTTACCTATTTTGATGAATCACAAACAAGTTAAACCAACTATCTTCATCCTCCCTTGGTCTTAGCATGGTTACTTGTTTATTGACAAACATACGATACAACCTCTCATCTGGAATAGCTCCTGGAGTGGACAAAACAAAACATTACATCAACGTTTGGGTAGTAAACCAACTCTTTATTTTAGAGCAATTTTATTAGCAACTCTATTAAAAAGAGCATGAAGAATACAACTCTGTGGCAAGGCCAATCTTCATTTTCATGACCTAAGGAGTCTGAGGCATGATTATGAATTTGAACAGATCAAAGTATAAATTGGCTATTTTACTAGACAGACTTCTGAAAACAAAGACATTTTAACATGAAATCTACCTTTAAACAACTGCTAAAAGCAGTTTCATTAACTACATCTGAATTGAGACCTCTTGCTGGCTTTCTATGCCAAGCAACTGACTATGGGTAGAATTCAAAATATTAGAAGAGGTGCTTTGTTTCTTCTTGACAAAGTATATTTTGTTGTAAGGTGGAGTCTAAAACTAGATATTACTGAGTAGAAACTGAGTTCTTAAACATACTTTGGCATTCTCTATAAAACAAGAAATAAAACATGAATTCTGCAAAGCCTGTGCTTTCCCACAAAGCAGGAAAAAGTCTGCAGTACTTCTGAACTGTTTGTCACCGACTCTTTCCTTGATGTTTTGTGCTGGTTTTGGTTGGGATAGAGTTAATTTTCTTCACAGTAGCTAGTATGTGGCTATGTTTTGGATTTATGCTGAAAACAGTGGTGATAAATACAGGGATATTTTAGTTATTGCTGAGCAGTGCTTATAGAGTCAAGGCCTCTTCTGCTTCTCACACCATCCCACCAGCTAGGAGGCTGGGGTGCACAAGGAGTTGGGAGGAAACACAACCGGACAGCTGACCCCAACTGACCCAAGGGATAGCCCAAACCATGAGGCATTACGGTCAGCACATAAAGCTGGGGGAAGGAGGAAGGGAGGGATGTTCAGAGTGACGGCATTTGTCTTCCCAAGTGACTGTTACGCGCGATGGAGCCCTGCTTTCCTGAAGACAGCTGAGCACTGCCTGCCCGTGGGAAGTGGTGAATGAATTCCTTGTTTTGCTCTGCTTATGCGTACAGCTTTTGATTTATCTGTTGAACTGTCTTTATCTCAACCCACAAGTTTTCTCACATTTTACTCTTCTGATTCTCTCCCCAACCCACCATTGCAGGAGTGAGCAAGCAGCTGTGTGGTACTGAGTTGCTGTCTGCAGTTAAACCACAACATATTTTTAACACGGAAAAAAACAAACCCAAACCATCCATACCCAGGGTTCATGACACATTTCAATAAAATCCCATATGGAGTTTACATATTTTGTATAAGAACAAGTGCTCTCTAAATCAGAGAAAGTCAAGAAGGTACATAACCCTGGCACAAATTCAAAGAAACATCTCATTAACATTTTCATGAAGCAACACCTGTACTTTAGAAAGCTGTTGCATTTCCCAATAATGATTTTGGGTATTAAAAAATCAAATGCTTTTTGAAAACTTTTATATTGTGGTATTAGAATCCTCACTACTAATCCTTAGAACATCTAGCAAACGTAAAATCATGGCCAACGAGGACTTAACTTACAGCTATAAAAGTTGCTTGGAAGTAAGTGTTTAAGCACTCGTGAGTGGACATAAAATAAGGGGGAAAAATTAAGGTCTTAATAGTTAACTACTCAAGACAAAAAGCAGTCAAACATAACTATTCTAAGTAAGAAGAGAGGAAGGTGAAGGAGAAAATAGGAAGGGACAAACTGAAGCTGAAAACCCACCACAGAACACCATTAAACTCTTCGTAAGTTTCTTTAAAGAAACTGAAGTTACCTGTGACAGATGTTACTTATGAACCACTTCGGACAAACATGCCAGACATTAGGTTTCTGCTCAGATAGTTTATGTTTTTAAATGTAACTAAAATGGTACTTGAACATAGTGTTTAAGTTTTACCTAAATAGGAAGAAGTAAGCTTAATACACAATACTTTATTAAGAGTGTGATTGTCCTGACTTGATACACAGGCACCATACATGCCTATCTTAAGCAGGGTTCATTCAAGACCAACAAAAGTATAGAAAAAAAGTTATTGAGGGATTTTTTTTTCAAATTAAAAAAAAAAAGGCAAAGAAAAAAACCTGTCTGCCAGTGACAACACAGCAGGAGAAACCTGACACTGTCACAGAATTGATACACTTTAATTTAGCATTCCTTAGACCTTCATGTTTGCTGCAGCACTATATGTTCCAACTTAATTTAGACCTGTTGAGCTTCAGTAATACATGAACAGTCCAGCAGACTAACACTTACCCAAACCATACAGAGCAATTTTTGTTCTACCCTTACGCAATAAAATAGGACTAATATCTATTTTCTCCACAGAAGTTGAACGTCCAAAGTGATTCAACAATCCTGCACAGCTTAAAATATCCAATGCACACAGTGCATCTGCCTGTAGAAAATATTAAGAAACAAATATAAAAACTTTGACCAGAACATTTAGTCTTTAAAGTGTGAGTGAAACAGTCGCAATAGGAAGAAAGAATATCTTTCCTTAAGTAACTTCTGCAGTTGAAAAACCCTGCCACATGTACTAGCTTTTTTTTGGTACTCACAGGTACAGAAGCAAATCCCTTTTCCTTATAAGTCTTGCTTCATTTGAACAACATGAAATTATACATCAAATCATTCAGAAAAACAAAACAAAAAAAACAAAACAAACAGCCAATCTCTAAACTACTACAGAAGGTTATCTGGTTAAGTTAACTACTACTTTGTAATAGGTCCAAAATTGAACCTCTGTTGTTAAAACACTTATCTCCATGATACACTTCTTTCTGATACAAAAGCAAAATTATTAATTCAATACACGCACTTTGCTGTTTTCTAAATGTCATTTTCCTGCTTTCTTTTAGATGCTGATTTTTAAACTAGCATTTCACCATTAATAGGTTATCTGCCTTGAAAATATAAGATGCATACCAATTGCATATGCCCAAGTCAAAGTATCAAAATTCCCCGTCTTTAAGAAAAAAGCTTTCAGACTCTACAGATAGAATTTGTTTTAGAAACTTTCTGAAAGGCTGCCCTTTCTTGGCATGAAAAATTATTCTGTTCTCAGTGACAGAATTCTATGTAAATTAAGAATTTAAACATAGTTCATATGGATCCTTTAACTTCTTTCCATTTCTCTTTTTTAATGTCACACTTGTCACTAATTAACAGAATTCCTAAAGATACACAAAATATTTACATGAAGAGTGGAGCAACTGACTAAAACTAGACTGTTCTCAAAGAACTGTATTTCTATGTAAGTCTCTATTTCTACATTATTTTTGTAACATAACAGTATAGTACAATTATGATAGCAATTACCCCTGTGGGATCATCATGATTGCCATGAATACTAAAAATTGGAATAGAAATGTTGAGATTTCTATCCTGATAATTCACCCATGGAAACCTGAAAAAAAAGAGGAAAAGAAGTTAAACCATATCTGCAAATTTGTGGATAATTCCAAATATTCTCTTCAAATTAACATCCTCACAAACACATCATAACAGCAATGAAATGAGCACTAAGTGGCTATGAATAAGCTTAAGCTGCACAATGTAAGAAGATTCTTACTCATGGCCTGGAATGGCGCTTCCCACTGGGAACAGAATAGCAAAAAGATCCCATTTTTTTTAGAGCAAGCCTATGAAAACAATTGTACAACACATCATGTGGTATGTGCAAGAGCATCGGACTGGGCTGTGCAATCTTTCATTACACACAAAGACCTCTGCTGATTTTACCACAGCAATTCATGTCAATTGGTTTACTTGCACGGTACTTCCAGGACAGAAACCATACATTACATAAATGTATCAAATGGCACAACACATTCAGAAGTTTCTGAAAAATTGCGTGCATTCTTTTATAGACTTAAAATTATAAAACATGATAGGTGAAGTCATCCTGTAAACTGTCCCAAACAAACAGGGCTAAAACTTCAAGGTTCCAGTCACAGAGGATATTAATCATAAAGATCACAACATATTCACCCAATATGCAAACCAAACCTTACACCATAATTTATAGGAACACTTACTTGCTATAATGAAAATTAACTGCCTGATCACTCAAAATTTCAAACTGAACAGGACGATCGCCCATGCAATATTTTCTTAGTGACTCCACACAAGCATGTACTGTTTTCCTGGACGGTTTGTTGTCATGAAAAAGGTCCCCACCTAATAAAACAAAGTCCACCTGTATGTAACAAAAAGCACTATTATTTTAATACAACATTTTGTATTGTCTTGAAAGACTTCTAAGGAAATGAAATTATTTCTTCTAAGGACTTCCACGTATCTTCTCCTATCTGGACCTTGAGGTAAAATGAGTTGGTAGTTGCAGACATGTTATTTGATTTCCTCATCAAATAAACATTAGTTATATTATTCATTAAAACAAAACAAAACCCAAAAAGACCCGTTTATGAAGAGCTATAGGAGAAAACAACTGACACTTGAAAAAAAATACCAGTGTTTTAATAATGGTCTCCAGATTGGCTCTTGAATATTTTCTTTGACAGGCACGAAGAGATACATTATCTTTTGATTGCTGTGGCATCTAGTGGGAAGAAATCAGTAGCTATCACCACATTACTTGGAGAAGTTACTAGTTGCAGTTTCTTGTATATATTTAGGTTTTCAAAAAGCATTAGGAAAAAAAATTCACCTTCATAAAAATTACAAATAATTTGACTAAGAAACATTCAATCCTTAAAAACATAATCATAGAATATTATCACAGAATCATTGAGGTTGGAAAGGACCTTTAAGATTACTGAGTCCAACTGTTAGCCTGGCACTGCCAAATCCACCACTAAACCATGTCTCTAAGCACCACATCTACATGCCTTTTAAATACCTCCAAGGTTGGTGACTCAGTCACTTCCCTAGGCAGCCTGTTCCAATGTCTGACAATCATTTCAGTGAAGAAATTTTTCTTATTATCCAATCTAAGCCTCCCCTGGTACAACTTGAGGCTATTTCCTCTTGTCCTATTGTCTGTTGCTTAGGAGAAGAGACCGACACCCACCTTGCTACAACCTCCTTTTGGTTAGTCATAAAGAGTGACAAAGTTTCCCCTGCTCCTTGGTGGTTCTCCTGGTTCCCAAAACCTCCCTGTGCACGGTGCTGGAGCGCTCCACTGCTGATCGTGCAGGCACTGGAGCTGCTTGTGTCAGAGACTCAACACTTTAAAGGTTTCTCATGTTTTTTTCTATTTTCTGAGTTACTTAGATATTACTGAAGATTACACCAGGACTCTGCTTAATAGCTTCTGGCAGGTTGGAATGTATTTTCCAGTCTCACCCCTTCACTTCCCAAAAAACAATACTTACTTCATTTTTTTGAGCGTGGTCCAGAATTTCATTTAAAGTTACAAACGTATCATTTCCACGCACTGGATCCTTCTCCAAATAGCCAAGGTGAATATCAGTAGCAATGAGTATTTTAAACGTATCTTCATCATCCCTAAATCAGACAGGAATATCCGTGTTAGACAGCAATATACTTAAGAATTTCAACCCAAACTTTATTAAGGTAAACTGTTCTGTCCAAAGTCATTAAATGGCTGTTCTGTCCAAAGACATTAAATGCACAGATTTTTTTTATAAAACTCCATCATTCCTGTAATATTCTCAAAACATTTCACCACTTTTATTGCAAACAGCACTTCACCAAACTAACCAGTCTGAAGATGTGGTTATCCCAACCAGCCTACTCTAATAAAAGGGCTGCGACCATCTCTCTGAAGCATCTAGTGAAAAACTAAAGAATCGTTTGAATGTTTTCTGCCTTTAAAAATACTTGGTGAACAAACATTAAATTCCTCTCTTTGCACGAGTAATCTACATATATATGGAAGCAAGTATGATGAGCATAAGGAGCTGAGGGAAAACACAAACGACGATCTGAGTTCTTAACTCATTCCCAACATATAAAAGACCTGCTATCTGGCATGACAGAGCTGGATGGAGCTGCAGACAACAGGAGCTTACTGTGAGTTGATGGTACTCATCTTCGTGCTAAGGCTCCTCACAAAAAGGCTCTGGACACAGCTTAGTAATTCAGGTCAGAAAGTCAGTTTCTATCTTCACAGATGCTACCTAAAGCCTAGGAGACAATAATAGAAACCAATTAGCAGGGCACAGTGACATGAATTATCAGTTACCCAGTCTTCTACTGATAATTACTGCTTGCCAAAAAACTTCACGGTAAGGCAAGGTCCGTGCTGGGTTTGAGCATGTCCCGCTGCGCAGGGCTGCCCGCTGAGGTGCCGCCAGCCCCCTCGCAGCGGCGCGGCCAGCCGGAGGCACGCGGGGAGCGCGCAACTCGGAGGGAACGGCCGCGAAACGCGGGCGGGCGGGCTCGGCGGCGGCCTCGCGCTCAGCAGCGGCGCACGGTAACGGCGGCGGGAGCCGGCCCAGCCCCTCTCAGGGGTGCGGGGTGGGCGGCAGCCAGCGGGTGGGGCGCTGCCCTGCTCAGAACGGAGGGTGACCGGGGAGGCCGCAATCCCGCGGCCGCGTAGCACCTAACGCGCGGAGCGGAGCGGAGCGGCCCTCACCCCGCGGTACCCCGCCGCCGCCGCGCGCGCCGTTCCCATGGCGCCCAGGAAAGGCGGGGCCTGCCGCCGCGGCCCCACGCGCCGCTCTCGCGAGAGCGCCGCCCCGCTCAAAGCGCGCGGGCTCAGCCCGAGGGCCGGCGCCGGGCGGGTGGCTGGTTGACGTCACATCCGCTTGACGGGTGAGCGTCTCGCCGGCGGGTGGTCACGCTCCCCGCAGCGCCGCGTCGGCGGGGCCGCAGGTGCGTCCGATGGGGGGGGGGGCCGGGCTCCGGCTCCGGCTCCGGCTCCCGCCGGGCTCTGAGGCCTTCCCGGGGCGGCGGGGCCCCCGCGGAGGGCAGCGAGGCTGATGTTCGCGGGCTGGGCCTGGCTCCGCTCGGCCCTGCCCTGGCCCGGGGCGTGAGGGGAAAGGGGAGCGTCGGGCGGTGCTGGCGCCGCGCGGGGGGTGGGAGGAGGAGGAGGAAGAAGATGATGGGGGGTGGCCAGAAGCGCTGTTCTGAGGTCTAGGCTTTTCTCCGATTGTTTATAAACCCCGTCGTGTTTCGAGGGCGCTCCGCAGAACGCCCGCTCGCTGCGGCGCGGCGCGCCTGCCGGTGACGCCGTTTGCAGGCGGGGATGGCTTGGGTGCTCGCCGGGGGCTCCGGCAGCGCTGGCAAAGCCCCAGTTAGTGAAGAAGCATTGAGGTTGCTGTTGGGGTTTGCTGTTCGTGGTGTTGCTGACGTCTGCATCACCCATCAGACGTTTTTACTGATCGGTGGGGGTATGGGTAGCAGTAAAAGTTACAAATCTTGTATGTCTGCTACTTACAGATGCTAACTGACAATGAGTAAAGACAAACAAATCAGTGAAGATGATGATGATAGCGAGCAGTTCGAAGACTTTACAGAGAATTTTAACCAACTTGAACTGCTGGAAACACACAGGCATTTGATTCCTGTAGGAACTCAGAGCTGTTGGTCAGGACAGTCTGATGATGATGATGACGAACAAGAAAGAAGTGAGGAATGGTATGAAATGCAAGAAAAAAAAATGGAAAAAAATCCAGAGAAATTGCTACTCTGGGCAGCTGAGAACAATCGGGTAAGGCATTTATCCTCTTCACAGCTATCACTGGCAAGAATGTTACTTTGAGGAGAATCTACAGTTTCACCTACAAACAAAAATTTACCTATGCTTTATCTCTCTGAACTATTACAATCTGATTTTGCAAGCCACTCTATGTGAAACATCTGTCTTTGTAGCCCATACACACTAAATTATCTCTGGATCCATTAGCTTTCAGAACAAAAGCTTTGGTTGTAGTTCAAAGCTAAGGAGAGTGCTCTTACTTTAAACTTCTATAAACTGAAAGCATGCCAGGCTCTTTCTTCATGGCAAGTAAGCCTTTTCACTGAGGTGGAGAGGGCATATCTGAAATGTTTTCTCAGAAGCTCCATATGCAGATAATGAGTGACTGTTTTCCTATTTTTCTATGGAAAAAAAGCGTTTTTATCTTGGAAGTGAGGGAGAGACAACCAAGATTCCTGTTACGTAGTTTAATACACGCTTGTGTATATTTATTTTCATTAGTTGCCCTTCTTATACACACCAGCTCCATCTACAGTTGTGTGGAGGTACTTACGACTTCACAGGGAGAAGGTGTTAAGGTAAAGGTTCTAAGGCATGCGACTAATGTTCATGTTGTATCTCTAAAAACAAATACCCCACTCAAACCAACCAAAAAAAAAAAAAACCCCAAACAAACAAACAACAACAAAAAAAAAAAAACAAAAAACAAAAAACAAAAAAAAAAAAAAAAAAAAAAAAAAAAAAAAACCACAAACTCCCCACCTCAGTAATAATAACTGGTTTCATTTTTAAATTTCTTGTTGCACTTAAGCCTTTTTGAGACTGACAGAAATGGCTTTTCCATAAAACTTAAGTGAAAGCCATGCATCTTGTTGGCAGAGTTTCGTATTAAATAACTGTGTTCTTTAAATAGCTGAGTACCGTGAAGAGGCTCCTTTCTGAAAAGCTGGCTCCAGTTAATGCTCATGATGAAGATCAGTACACTCCTCTCCATCGAGCTGCCTACAGCGGGCACTTGGACATTGCACATGAATTGGTTGCCCAGGGGGCAGACGTTCATGCGCAGACAGTGGACGGCTGGACGCCTCTGCACAGCGCCTGCAAGTGGAACAATACAAAAGTGGCCGCGTTCTTACTTCAGCAGGGCGCAGACATCAATGCGCAGACAAATGGTTTGCTGACACCATTGCATATTGCTGCAGGAAACAAAAACAGTAGAGAAACACTTGAACTCTTGCTGATGAATCGCTACGTGAAACCAGACCTGAAAAACAACTTGGATGAAACTGCCCTTGACATTGCTAGGAGGACTGATATATATCACTACCTTTTTGAAATAGTAGAAGACTGCATAAATGCTGTGTCCCCTTAAAAGTTGTGGTTAAGCTTGTGAATGTGAGGTTTGCTGTCTCCCATTTGTGTTCTGCATGCTTGTCAGTGGTGGTCTGTCCCTTTGCAACAGGGCTTTTCATTTAAGATACTTCTAGTATTCTCAGGCAAAATGTCACTTCTTGTAACTCAGCTCAGTGGTGTCGCTTATACTTCCGAAGCGTTACTACTGTTACTCAGTCTCAGTAATTTCAGCGAGTCTCCATTTAATTAGTGCAAATTTGGTGGGGCTTTTTAAATTGGTCTGTACTGTCAAAGCAGGAGGGAAAACTGGAATACTTACTTGATGTGGAAGAATTCTGGCTTGGTCATGCAGAGTTTATTACAGCTCACTTGAAAATTGTTTTTTGAGAAATTTAACTTTTTTACAAGTGCATGAAAGCTCAGAATTAATGTAACTTATTTGGGTGATACACAAAATGCTTAGTGATCCTCCTGTAAGGCTTACTATAAAATAAAATATTTAACCCAAAGTATTTTGTTGTCATATTTTTATAATTGAAAGCTCTCAATTATCAATGCAATTGCCTGTTCATAAACCAAAAGTGTTACAGGATGATAAAGTAGTTTTGCTTTATTTTTTTTCCTGGTACTTTTCAAGGAAGTGACTTTCTGTGAAGATCCTGTTTACGTTTCCCTTGCAAATTAAGTTGAGGAATAAAGTTTTAAGGTCATGGGTATTAGTTACAACAAGTAAACTTCAACTGTCTGAGGGTACACAACCAACATACTGTTGCATCTGATTTAGTTACAGCTAATTTAGTACAGGACATGCTCACAGTGTTTCTCTTCCACTTCCGAAACCCCAAAGGGAATTCGTCATTCCAACTCTAATATTAGGACATCAGCATAGTTTAAAAAATTTGGTGGCATTTTTCCTCAAAATTCCTTAATTCCCAGACCGTTAATTTATTTTCTTATTTGACACCTTTTTAATTTGTGATAGCTTATATTACTAATCCTTGGCATTCATGTCCGAGTTGAGCTTCTTAAAAGTTCTGTCAGAGGTTTGGTTGCTGTCGTTTTATCAAACTCAAGGTGGTGGGGGTGGAATGGTTGGTTGGTTTCTTAAAATTTTGAGGTCTTTAACATGCTTGAGTGGCAGCTTCTCTCTGCATTCATGGCAGCTAGAATCTCACTGGTTTTCAGTGAAGAATTGGGAACCTTCATCTGAGGCACTAAGCACATCTTAGCACTGAGTACTCTTTGGTTTAACTTAGCAGAACAATGTTAATTAATTCTATAAATTTTCACAAGAGACATAATTTGCTGTTTCTGTTTGACAGTTCACCCTTCTGCTAGCAAGTGAAAAACTATGACTTTTAGAGTTGATTTCAGAGTTTAATTTACCTGTATTACCGTTCATATCAGCTGTATCAGTCTGCATCTCAATCTTTCAACTACTTTTGGAGAATCAACATCTCTGTATTATTTACCTATCTGTGAGAGGGCCAGTAAAGTGTACTTCCCATCTGTTTCTCCCACCTTGGGGGTGGAAACACATGGTTCATAAGTTGCAGACAAAAGTCACTATGAAATGTGAGTAGTTAATGAGTGAGGGTTTCTAAGTACCAGTACAGTGTACAGTACATCTCAAAAAAATTACTCCTAGCAGGTAGATCTTTTTTGATCAATAGTGGTTTAGAAGGATACTGGTAGAACTTCAGCAATGCTGTCAGCCCAGCATATGATCTGTACTGCATAGGAAATAGTACACTAAATATTCTTCCATGGTAATGGAATGCTGCATAATTTTGAGCTTCAACTTTGCCATCTATAAATCAGGAGAAAATTGCTTCTCTGTTAATCAAATTGAAGTGAAAATTGAATGCGAGACCTGAAGTACTGTCACTCAGTATGAGAGCTGTAACAAAACACTTTGTTGTCCTGTGCAGATGCCTTACTGAGTGATGCCAAGCTCCTTCCAGACACCAGTAACAGAGATGAAGAACGTTTTGTAGGAGCAGCAGGGTTGGAGTATGTTGGCCCACATTTGGTGCTCTGATTAAGTAACTGTGGAGGGCATCTCTGTCACCCGTGTTTCTAGAAACCCTGTTCAGCACTCTTAGAAGAGAACTGCCTCTGAACTATGAATGGTACAAGATGATTTTTAATGCTTATTTTGAAAGTTTGGTTTCATGACATCTGTGGAAGATGAATACACCTTGAAATGCATCAAGTCAAAATACAGAAGTGGATTACATCATGCATTTGTGTAACTAAACTCGGTTTGTATCTTATAAACTCTCACTACTGTATGCAAAGCCTTGATTTCAAGGAAGCTAAAGCTTTCACGGGGCAAAGCTTCCGGCCAGGTGAACTGGACAGCTTCCCTGTGTGTCCGCTGGCAGCATTATCAATGACTGTTGTGACAGCCAGATGCTCTTTCTCAAAACTTGTGTCAGTGGCAAAACAAGGAGAGTCAAGGCTACTTCAGTCCTATAAAGTGCCTCAAATGCCTCATTTTATGGTGTTATTAAAACCAAACTGCTATTAGTAGATCTACGTCATCCATCCAGTTAAACTGGACTCTTCTGGGTTTTTTTTCCATCAGTCTGCCATTGCCTCAGGTTAGGATGACAAGGCCTCCTCTCATAAGGAAGGCCAGTGGCAACGCCCCACAGAGGTACAAAACGTTTGTGATACATGTGCCTGCTGCCAAGCGCAGTAACGCTGACGGATGCAATCGAGGAGCCGTTGATACCTAGAGCAGAACCGTTAATGATACCTAGGGCTGTCACCCACCCTGAGCCCCAACCAGGCATGAGGGGACCACAGCCTGCTGCTCCCTGGGGATGGCGACTGGCCACATCCCGCCGCGGAGGTGCCCCCGTTGTTAACCCCGGCCCGGGGAAGGGGTGACACACCTCAGCCGTGACAGGAAATGGCGGCCCCGCTCAGCTCCCCCCGGCACAAGGCCGCGGGAGGAGGCCAGCGCCCTCCCTCCACAACCCGCGGCCCCAACGTGGCGGGCGGACAGCGGGCAGGGCAGCACGCCCGGCTTTCCCTCGCCGCTCCGCCGCGCCGTCCCTCTCCCGGCGGCGGGGCAGAGCCGGACCGGCCCCGCCCGCCTCCGTTCCTGTGGCAACCGGCCCGCCCGGCTCCTCCCTGCCCGGGCAGGGCGGCGGCCATGAGGGCGGCGACCGGAGAGCAGCCGGCTGTGGCGGCCGAGGAGGCGGGCAGCGATGGCCGCGGCGAGGCGGCGGGAGGCGGGCAGCCCTGTGAGCGCGGCGGACCCGCGGCCCGGCAGCGGGGCCCGCCTTACCTCCTTTCCACTTTATCGGCCTCCGTGCCCCTTCCCCACGCCGGACACCCCCGGCGCGTCCCTTCGAGGGAGCCGAGCCTTTCCCCCCGCAGCTCCCCGCTGATCCCCCGCGGCCACCTTGCTCGGTGGCCACTTGCCTCCCCCCCCCACCCCGGCACTGCGCACCCCACCCTGGCAGGCAGGGACTCACCTGCCGCCATGAGGTGCACTACTCCCTCTTCAGCTCCTTGGAGATCTCCTTCAGCGAGGACATCTCCTTGGAGATCTCCATGCTGGGCCCTGCCTTGGGAGGCACTGGCCGTGTCACGTCAAGTGCCCTGGGGTGGCCTTGGCCTCAGCCACCTCACTGTGCCGCAGCCCCCCAGCACTCCCTTTTTAAACTTACCCACCATGGTCCTGTCATCAGGAATTGCTCCACGTTGGGGAGCAGGCCCTGGGTGGACACTAGCGTATATTTGTAAATGATTTGTCTTATATGTTAAAACAGATGTAGAGCTGCAAAAAATTACAAAGGGGGCCCACAAGAAAAGTAAGGAAGGACTTTTTATGAGGGCATGTAGTGACTGGACAAGGGGTAATGCCTTTAAGTTGAAAAAGGGTAGATTTAGATTAGATATAAGGAAGAAATTCTTCACAATGAGGGTGGTGAGGTGTTGGCACAGGGCTGCCCCCTCCCTGGAAGGGTTCAAGGCCAGGTTGGACGGGGCTGGGAGCACCCTGGGCTGGGGGAAGGTGGCCCTGCCATGGGCAGGGAGGTTGGAACTGGATGGTCTTTAATGTTTGTTCCAACCCAAACCAGTCTATGATTCTCTGAATCTACATTACATTTGGCAAAGCACATTAGCATTTAGGGGATTTAAACTAACTGGTTCTTTTGTAATATGCCTTACTAACAGGGAAGAAATTTGTTTATGTCGAGCCATCTAGGAGAGTTAAAGAAATACTTGAAGAAGAGCTTTATTTTCAGAAAGAAGCATGCCAGGTTAAACATCCAGCTGCAGGTAATCCTCATCAGCAAATGGCAAGTGTTTGTCAGGACAAATGAAATAGAAATTGTTTTGAGGAACTGTGGCAAAGTTATTATTTAAAAAAAGGAGCCCATAACTTATGTAATAGCCTGGTGAACATTTAGAAACAGAATAATTGCATATAGTCTTTATTACCTTTTTTTTTTTTTTAGTCTAAAATTACAGGAGTATAGAGAACACGGATAATTCCATATGATCTATCAGTTTAATAAAACAGAAATAAATGCCATGCAATAGGGAGGTTTTCTTACCTTTTTATTTGAAAGAACTGCAGTAGTTATACTTTGTCCCCTTCTGCTGTTCAAAACTGAAGTTGGTGTTGAAAGAGGTGAAAGAGGTGTATCACTAGTAGCCTCCAGGGAGGGAGAATTATCTACTTATTTTAGTGCTAACATTAGCACTAGGACCTTGAACTGTTTGTCGACTGTTACTCCTAAATCCATGATGCTTTTGCTCCGCAGTACATATTCTGTAGCCCTACATTCTTTTCTGTAGAGTAAAGCTATTTCTTGGTTATATTAAGCTGTATTTTGTTGAAATAAGCCCACCAGTCTATATCCCAATTATTACATCTTCCACAAATATAGTAAGGGCATTTTTGCCTCTGTTTTCAAATTTGGAAAATTTTTTAAAAAGTCAGTTTTCTCTTATGTAGGATTGAGACCCATGTCTAAATTCACTCAAAATTAATTTAAAACAGTTGGATTCACAGACAAAAGGTGCATAAGTTAGGTGATGTAATCAATATCCTTTCAGATGTAAAGACCATTTGAACCTGCAACTCCATTACTGTGATTAGGCTCCTTGGGCAATTACAGCACACACCTGCAAATGAATGACTTACATAGGCTCTGTTTATAGTAAATAGAGAGAAAAAGGCATTTTGAAAATGTAATTCTTCTGACTTGTCTTAGGTACCATTGCATGTGTCATGCTCTAAAACTGCCCGTTATTTTCCCATTGACTGTAAAGGGGTTGTGGACAAGTAGCTGAATTGCAGATGTTAACATTGGTCTGCTCAAGTTGCTTTATGTGTCTAATGTTACTGAGAGGTGAACACAACTACATTTCACTGCATATTCTGCCAAAGGATCAAAATTGTCTAGAATATTTCAGTTTGATTGTATAAATGGATGCTACCATATATATTCTCATGATTTCTGGGGAATCCCCCAATGAAATGCACGTTACAAAGGTTTAAACTACTAAAGATAATATAGAAACACCACAAAAATATCGGTTAATGTAAATTATGAATATATAACAAACTCAGTTTATAAATACCATGTGTAGCATATGTTATATGCATAGCATAGCGACGCTACGTATAATAAGGTCAAATAGATGTTGGTGTACAGTTTAATCAGGAAGTACCTAGTTCCTTTTTCATCTCTGTACATCTGGAGAATTACAGATGCTCTGTAAGTGGCCTAGGCCCTGAGAAAAAATTGTCAGGTTGGGTGGTTACTGATTTCCACAGTTTAGATGATTAGTAAGTTTATTGTTTTACATAAATTAGATTGTTAGTAAATTGTAGCCTTTCCACAAAATAAATTAGCTTTTTTGTTTTGTTTTGGCAGTGTTGGCTTTGTTCTGGTTTGGTTTGTTTTTCTTCTGTTTTGTGTTTTGTTTTGGGGAGGTGGGAGATACTGGGGGTTTTTTTGTTCTGCTATCTTTTTATGAGGGTATTTGGTATTCCAGTATGACCAATAAATCATGCTGGATGCATCGATGGTTTTACTGCTGTTTCGTACACATTATAGATCAGCTGCATCCTGCTAGCAGTCCTAAGCTGTTGTACAGACAGTAGAGCGTGTAGTATACCTTTAGCAATCTGAATTGCTCTCTAAAGATGTCAGTCTCTTTTCATTAACTGTGGAGGAAGATTATAGTGTTCTGCTTAGCTATTTCTAATTACTTTATAACCAAAGGGACTGTTTTAAATGTTACATTAATTCTAGAACAAGTTGAAGTAATTAGTTATAACGGTATTATTTTGAAAAATTATTAACAGTGGCTCTGGAAGGAATTTGGAGTGTGAAAAAGAATTTCTCCTTTGGAAGCCTGGCACCAGTGTCACAGAACAGAAACAGTTTACTTTTACAACCTCAGCTCTACTCAAGGCATACAGGAATGAAAAGTAAGAGTTGATAATAAGAACTTTTCACAGTAACACCTAATTTTAAAATTTCAGGATAATTTATAATTCATAGACATCTCACAGGACTGCAGGTCTGTTTTGTGCAATTATATTTTTTCATCAAGTTACCTGTATGGTCCTATCGTAATGACCACCAGGCATCTTTTTGCAGAGCTAACCCACCTCTTCCTTTAGTAAGTAGCCAACAGACTTGAAAACTTTGTGTAAGAAACCTGTTTAGGACTGCTGTGTTGAATCACCTTATTTCATAATCTGTAACCTTTTGTAAATGTGTGGAATAATCACTTGTTTCCTACTGATGAGTGGTGAGTGTTGGTTTCATGTAGATAATGAACCTTATTTGCCTTTCTTAACATCCAACCTTAACCAATTAAAATGTTTGGAAAAGACCTCCTTCCAACACACCTCCTGAAAAGAGGCTGATCTAGGTATCATTTCAGGCATTTTAACATTTGCCTGTAATAGTCAACTGGTGCTCTGGGGCAGGTGTTTCTTTACAGTCAGCGGAGTGTGGCTTTTGTGGAGCAGACCTGTTCTGTATGAGCTGGTGGATTTTAGGATAGTCTTAATGTGCCCACCTTCTCTCTTTCAGGATAGTGTATTAACTTTGTAGTAGAAGGTGAAAGCTTCCAACCCTAAGGAAACAGCTCATTAGCTTTTTAAGAGGAATACTGTTAGTGCCATGAGCTTGCAGAATATATGAACTCAGCATATTTTGCCATTAAATGATACTCCTTCCCACGTTCCTGGGAGCTAGCCGTCTGGAAATACTGCTAGCTGCATGACTAGCACTTTTCTTCCTATCTTGATCTTGTGAGCTCTGGAGATTGCAGCATCTTAGTTACAACAGCAGCATGAATTGTTATTGTTAGTATAAGAAATTTTTAAGCAGTACACCCTTCTGCCACACTGATTTTGCTCTACAGAGAGTACCTGTAGGAACATTTTGTTTATAGATCAGGCCTAATCTATGCCAGGTATTAGCTGCAGTCACTTCTGGTAGGTACTTAAGAAAATTTTAGCCACATCATAGAAAATACAACCAAAGAATGCTCTCAGAGTTTGGAGATATTAGCATAATTTTAAAACTCATGTACACGAGGCTTCTAGTGAAGGCATGCAGTTTTGAAAGATCCTGTCGTCCTCTCTTTCTCATTAAGATCCGAGGAAGGAACAGCTTTAAAATGCCAGCTTATTCAAATTTATTTAGGTGCTAAAATTTATGGGCTCTGTTCCTTTTCCTTTGGGAATTTAGATGTACTTTCATTCACAGGGACTGCTGCTAGAGACAAGTGATGCTCTCCTCACTAGCTGTACTGCCTGTTTTGCAGCAAACGGGCATGTATCATGAGAGAAGAGGTGGCAGAAAAGACACAAGACAGGAGAAAAACTGGAAGTGATCTGTCTTCAGCTCCTATACTCACCAAACTATTTCCATTCACACACCCTCTTAAGTGTAAGGACCTGAGGAAAAAATGAGGTGGTAGTATACTAATTGAGGTGGAATAGGTACAGGCTATGGAAATGGACAAAAAAGAAGAGGGGTTTCAAGAGAGAAGATGAGCCTATTGTGTTTAGTGCCAGAAGGAAAGACACCACCGAAAGGAAAAGGAAGAAGCACAGACATGGGGAATGAAAGAAGAAACAGAAGAAGAAGCAGACCAGAAGGTTGGGAATTACTGAAGGGAACTGGAGAGAGGAGAACACAGGTCAGCAACACAGGGATACAAACTGAAAGAAGTGAAGGAAAAATACGTAGGACAAATAAGTAGAAGAGACAAAAAGAAAAAAAATATATACCCATGTTGCTGAATTTACTGAAGTTAATGCATTTATTTTTGCTTCTTCCATTTACTGCCTTTCCCTAAAAGTGACTAGTGGTCTGGGGGGCTCACTATGTGGTGTCCCATCCATCCTTATGGCAGATCTTGTTTTTTTACAGATTGCTGAATTTCAGTGCTGTGAAGACCCGAGCCTGTTGTGATGTGTCAAATCAAACATCAAAATGACTAGCTGCCTTTAGAAATGTAGATTGGTATTTCTAAGATTTTGAAGAAACTTCTGCTTGGATAGGGAGCTATTTCCTCTGTTGTTTTATTCATATCCTTGTAGTTCTTTTTTATTAGATGTTGTAGTAGCCAAATCTGATCCATAATTCAGCCAGTGATGAAGATGTCAAAATCCAAGGATAAAAAAATGCTCTTGCTGACAAAAATGTGCTACTCTGAAACTTGACATTTTCACAGGCTTCTCTGTTGCAAAGTGATTCTAAGTTCCAGCAGAAGACTGTAATGTAATTGAAAAGATGCCTTAAAGCGTCTCAGGCTGAGTCCATTCATTAAACTGAGGAGTTCATAAGAGTTGTGGGTTCAGTATCTAACCTGATTTAATCAAAGTCTAGCATAAATAAGCCTCTCTATATATGTAAGAATTATGATAGTGTCAAACCACCATAGAGACAGCATGGAACCTGAAATAACCTGTCACTAAATTCTCACTCTTAGCCATTATTACAGTGAGGTAGTACCAAGTGATCATTAGTTTATTTGATATTATCACACTACTTAGGAAACAAATGTGGATCATTCTAGGTACTGCATAAAACCAGAACAAAAGATAGCTTTGAAAGATCATGGATGGTTGGAGGGGGTACCAGAGGGAGGATTGACATTTGTAGCTACAGAATAGCTTCGGTACTCCGGTAGCAGATGAGGGCCTGGAAGCACTCTGCAGCAAAGCCTCTGAGCTGGCTGAGCCTGAACCGTGCAGGAGGAATTAGCTGAAGAGTAATAGTAGTTGGGGACTCCCTGCTGCGGGAGATGGAAGCTCCCATTTGCTGCTGCAACATGCTGTCTGGGGAGGTTTATTGGGGGGCTGAGATCTGGGACGATGTGGAGAGTGTGCTGAGTCTTGTCTGGACCTCAGACTTTTACTCCCTGCTGCTCTTCCACATGGACACCAACAATACTGCCACGGGAGACGTGGAATGTATCAAGCATGACTACAATGGCGTAGGGAGAGTCAAAGACATAGGTGATCGGGGGGTTTTTCCTCAATCCTACTGGTGAGGGGGTAGGGCTGGGGGAATGGATGGGTCCTGTAGGTCAACTTTTGTTTGCACAGCTGGTGTTGAATATGGGGAGTTGGCTTCTATGACTATGGGATGTTCCCTCTTTGAGGACTAAGAACTGCTAGGATGAGATAAGATTCACCTCAACAAGTAGGCCAAAAGCTATGTTTGTACCATATCTGGAAGGATCCATGATCATTTCCTAAGTCCTGTGATAACATGAGAAATACATAGTAGTGATCATTTGCCTAACCAACCTGGGGAGAAGAACTCTAAATAAGAGTGACAGGGGAGGGAGTTGACAACCCATGATCAGGTGAGGAGGTGGTGGACCAGGTAGGTAGGCGTGATATTTCCTGTCTTCATGTTTAACAATCTAACTTAATGATTAGTCTTTGCCATATTTCTAGAATATTTGTAGCACATTCTTTTCCAAATTAATAATACTTAGCACTTACAGTTTTCATTGCTAAAATTCTTCCCAGACATCCCTCCAGCACATTTGTGGGACAAACAAGTGTTGCTGTCTTTTTAAAGGAGACAATTGTCTTGTACAGTGAAAAAAATGAACTAGGACTGATGGATAATTTAAAATTAGAGTTGAAGAACTCCTTATTCCCAGTTATACCTCAGACTGATAATTCACATCTTTCTTAAGGTGTAATCCTAAGAGGTGGAGATGGGATTTGGTTCTGGGGCTTTCAGATCCCAATGAAGTATCCAAACCACACTGAATATTGTTAAAAAGGGAGAGTCTCAGTGACAACTTTGTAAAGATAGACTTTGTTTTCCTTTGATTTTTTTACCATTATCTGTGAATGAAATGGGATGTTTGTTTTTTGATTGTCTGGAACTCTTCTCTGTCACTAAATGTTTGGTTTTATTTTTGTACCAGTGAGAAGGGGAAAAAACCCAACCTCTTAGCTGACTCCAAGCCAACTCTTTTGAGCATTTCCATTTGACTTCTAAATGAACAAAATTATTGGCACTGAAAATTGCACCTGAGGCACTAGAGCAGTAGCTGCTTTTGAAAACATTATTCTCACTTTTTAGATGCAAATTTGATCATGACTCACACAATAATGTTTGAAAAACACTGTTTTTTTTTCAGATAGTGGCTTTGATTAAGCCTTTTGCATCTCATTTTTGCTCCTTGCTTCATTTTTATTCTACTTGCCTCCCGTTGATTTCTCATTCTTAGTATTTTTTTTTTTATTATCTTGTTTTAAATTTTTTCACATGAAAAGACTTTCTGGGTCTATCCTGGACTCTTGCACTAGCTCAGTTTTGCTGCAACAAAGGCAGATCTGTGAATCTCATTTTCTCCTTTGCTCCCTCTTCCTTTTTGTGTAACCTTGTACAACATAGAAATATCTTTTAGATCTTTTTTACTGAATATTTTATTTCAGTCATGAGGCTAGGGTAATCCCAAGCTAGTCTGATATATTCATGTTCATGATGTGTCTCATCTTTCTTTTGAATAAAATAAAGCAATTTGTTTAAATACAGTAGCATTGCATAATATTATAGTAATGTTATTAATATTACTATTTATAATATTTCATTAAATGGGGTGTTGGGTAATTTAAATTGACTGTGCTCACATTTTATCATAGTGACTTTTTACTGTGTAAGTGTTCAGCTACTCTTAGTTTTTTAATATTATTTCATTTCCAAACTAAACATTACTGTTTTGGAAGACAAATGTTATCATTTCTTCCATATATTGATAACCATGTTCAAACACTGACATCTTTCGAAGGCTACATCTCCATTATCAAGCAATGAAGCACAATAGGAGGGGGTCAAGTTATTAAAGCAATTGGTATTGAGACCCCCATAACTAGACTATATATGGTTGAGGAGGTTTACTCCAAACTAGAGCTAGTCTTATCTCCTGGACTGAAATGCCACCTCTGTGCTTCAGGTTCAAGTATGTTTGAAGAAAAGCCCTACCACTAGCCCTTGCCCTCTGGCTGGGGGACGCTCACTGGGTAAAAGGAGAGCATCAGAGCTGCTTGCACATCACTGGTCCTGCCTCTGTTGCTGACTAAGTTGCAGTCCAGTGACCAAAAAAACAAGGAAGATTGAAATTAATTGTAACAGCTAACAGATATCCACAGAGCCAAATTCTGGCTTGCTGGTACATGCATGCATGCCAAAGTGTCTGAGGATCATGTTGTTTTGGTAGGAAAGTTTTCTGCTCTGCTTTTGGCTCTGGTGAACAGCAAAGATGTGTGCTACAGTGGAAGGTCGAAGAGTGTTCTGGGACAGGATCCTCCATCCACAGCTTATACAGCACGTTTCTTCATGCCTGTGCCTTGACCTGGAAATGTCGACTTCACGTAGTTTTAATCCAACCCTGCTCACAGTCACAAGTGGAACTGTAGCTGGGCAGAATATTTTAACACCACATTTGCTGCATGTGCAGTAGCATGGGGTTGTCTGTCCAGAAGCTGTTCATGCAACGAGGTGGGCATCAACATTCAACTGAAACTTTTATCTGTCGTCATATTTCAGAATTTTAAACTTCCAAGCAGAAAGATCATAATCCTGATTATGAAACACTAGGTAATCAAATGACAGGCATTTAAACTTTACACTAAAATATACAGTGTGCAATTTATACAGAGCAGAACTTTTATCACTCTTTTTCATACAGGATTTAGGTCCTTACTCGGCAAAAACTTGCATTCTTGCATTGAAACCATGGGGATTATGAAGAAGAGATTTCAAAGTCATTCTTAGTGTCATTTTGGTACCAGATAGCATCCTGCTACTCTTTGAAGCTGATCACGTTTTCGAAGAATAAAAAACTCCACAGGGTTTCCCTTGTTGACAGAATGTCTGGCTTGATAGCCGAGGCTGGAAATACGAGGACATATTGCAATACCTTTTACACTGTATTTGCAAGACAGTTGACAAATAACTTCAAAGTGTTGTCTAGGCTTAAATACTTCTAAAGTGTGACAAAACAGAGTGAGTCAGAGTAGAAGAGGAAGCCAGCTGGGAAGCTCTAGGCAAAAACATTTACTGCTGTTAGAAACGGCAAACATTTAACCTTCAAATAAGCAAAATATTTTTCATTTTGCAACAGCTTCATTATTAATGGCCAGCATTTTATTTTAAATTCCTGGTTATTGGCAACAGTGGAGCTTACTGTGGTTTCCAGAGCGGATAAACCACAGTTCCCCTATTTGTGTATAAAGTACCAAGAAGTCTGTGTGGTCCTCAGTCCACAGAGCTCCCTCCTGGGATGGTTTACCTCCAAAGCAGATGAAACCAGGTGTGTTTCCTCTGGAAGGTCTGCAGGAATCTGGTAACACTACATCACGTTGTACTTCTCAGTGATGTCTGTGGAGTTTTTCCCAAGTCAGAGTGAACAAAACTGCTTGACAAAACCCTACCAATACAGAGTGCCTGATCACTATTGTGCCACTGACACGCCATGTCTTACGGCAGAAATGGGGCAAACTGGAGCTGGTGTGGATTAATGCCAGGCTGGTATTATTTCTCTAGAAGAGAAATGAGATATTAAAAAGGAGAGAGAAACTCCTCACCTACACACAGGTTTGAGGACAGCTGACCTCTAACCTTGGTCCTGACAGTGAGGTCACTCCCTGGTTCCCTCACTCCACAGCAGCACATCACGTCTTGCTTATAAGTTTACCAAAATTTCCAGGAGGCTACTAGACTCTTAGATGAAGGCACACCTATCATTACTTTCAGTAGTGACTATGATGAAAATCTAACTAAGATATATTTCTGTGCTATCTTTCTGCTGTGAAAAGTTTGAAGAACGCACAGTGATAGCAAAACAATTGGATCTGTAATTTGTAAAAATTATCCTAAAATGTGAATCTGTAAAAATTACCCTAAATTACCCTAAAATATGCCTTGAAAATAGGTTTCATCATACTGTGGTTACAAATTCTATGGACTTTTGAACTAGTGGACTTCTCACAATGTGTAAATGTAAACATGTATTTAGTGTCCACAGAGGCAGGTGTAACATGAAAAGGAACTTATGGTGAGAGTATTACTCATATAAACATTTTAGGCTACTGTCCTCTCATCTGAATTGGTCTAACTCTTAATTGCCATAGTAAGACAAATAGGAAATGTTATAATACTGGATTTCTGTGCTGTATATACCATCAAAACTTACTGTGGATTTCAGTAATAAGTTTTCTTCAGTGTGCAGTGTAGAGCTTTAGCTCTAGGTGAGTTGATGAATGTAGAGAGCCTTGTTTTGATCTCATGCTAAATAATTCAACAGATTTGTTCCCATACGACAATAGTCTTAAAATGGACGCCACTACAGTGCAGCTGAATGTCATGCTGAAGTTTTACTGTGGGACTGCAAAAAATCAAAAGTAACTAGCCAACTCTTGCTATTAATCTTCATAAGGAAAGTTTGTGTTTTGTTTTTTTTTTTTTCCCCTTCAAATTTGTCACTACCTGGCTTATAAAGACTTCCATGTTGAATTGTCCTGAAACATTTCATAAACCCTGAATTAATGCCAATATTTTTGTTGATTTTATCATTTGAGGGATCAGGTGTGGCATTATCAATGTAATTGGCTAGGTTTTGGAATTGGAATGGCTTAGCATCAAACCTTCAAGCAATGGAAATCAAAACTTGACTAGACAAAGATTCATTCAAAGTCATGTATCAATGCTGAAATGTAAGTTCCTGAAGGAAAATAAGAACTGCCATTGCAGCTGATATAATCAAATTTATTGAGTGAATCACAATTCCACAGAAGTCAATTGAGCTCTCCCGCTGACTTTCATGGGTCCCAAATTTCTCACATTATCTGTAGAAATGGATAAAATTACTAACACTAGAGCTTTTGGATCACTTTGAATCCTTAATTAGGGCAGCCTAGGGATTGTGCCTATTTTAGGTAGTGTTCATTGTATTGGATATGTTATGGATTGATTCTAGGTACAGCTCATGCTCTCAGATGATTTGACTCCCTGTTAGCATTGTATTTCTATGTTTGTTTGCAGTTTTCTACTGCAGTAAAATAATTTTCTCAGATTTCCATTCTGTGACTAAAATCAGTGTCATTTGTCAAGATAGGTCCTATATTGCACTAAGAGATTTTTTTTTTTTTTTGGTACTAATGGCTAGCACACCCTTTTGCAGACAATGCTATATTAGAAAGCAGGTTGACATCTCGGCTTGTAGAACTGCAATTCAGAGAGGCCTTGAGAAACTTGAAGTGAGCCAACAGAAACCTTGGGAAGTTCAGCAAGAGGAAAGAGCAAATTCTGCACATGGAGCAGAAAACTCCCATGCACTGGTACAGGCTGGGAACTGGTTGGCTGGTAAACAACCATATGGGAAAGGACTGGGGCTACATGAATATCAAGCTGAATGTGAGCTCTCCTCAGACATAAAGCAAGCCATGTGCTGGGTGACATCAGAATTACGTCCAGCAGGTTGAGGAAAGTGATTATCCCCCACTGGGGAAGCAGCATCTGGAATACTGTCTCCAGTTTCCATTCTCCCAGTTCAAGAAGTGTGTTGAGGTCATGGTCCAGTGGAAGGCTACCAGAATGATGAGAGACCCTACAGCACACAAGCTACGAGGAGTGTTTGCAGGAGGTGATCTTGTTAATTCATGTGAAGCGGAGGTGACGGGATGATTTAATGGGAGCCAGCAACTATCTGAAGGTAAGTTAGGAAGATGATGGAGCCAGACTGTCTTTGGCTATAACAAGGGACAACAGTCACAAATTACAGATTAGGAGGTTCAGGGCTGGACTTTAGGAAAAATTTATTTTCCCGGGGTGGCACATCCCTGGGACAGGCTGCCAGAGGTGTTGTGGAGTTTCTATCCTTGAATATTTTCAACACCTTGCTGCTAATCTAGCCAGCATCTAGGTGAGCACCTTGGTTAGTACTAGCAGTGGTGCTCCTCTGAGTGGGAGCATGGATTAGTGATCCCTAGAGATCCTTTCCAACCAACGCTTTATGTTGGAGCAGAGGCAGTAAGATACTGACTATAATCACTGCTTGTATTTTATGAGTGCTTCCAGCATGGACAACAGAAGTCTGCAGGCACTTTTACATACAACTAATAAGTTTCAACCTAGATGCTAACCTACACCAACCTGACACACAACTCTTCTTTATTTTTGGTGGTAAACAGGCTCAAATCACTTTTTTTACTAAGAGACAAGTTACAGGGCCTTGACCTATGTTGTACGTAAAAGCTATGCTGCAATCCAGATGGTCAGTGAGAATTTATGCCTGGTGTAACTGCTGCCTTCAGTAGATCTGCATGACAGGACCTTGGCTCTATAGCTGATGGATATGAAAACATGTAGTGTCAGAGCTGGAAACTCTCCAGTTCTGTACAAACAGTCTCTGAACTGTGTGAATCAATGATCTCTTAGTTCACTGAAGCAAATGACTTGAGGAAAAAAGTTTTGAGCCTATCTGATACACTTCTACACACCAGCTCTGTGAGCTGGAAAAAGTAATTTTCTGGTGATCATAAGGTTTTGTACCGTTGAAGTGCTCAAGGCCAGGTTGGATAGAGCACCCTGATCTAGTGGAAGGTGTCCCTGCCCATGGCAGGGGACTGGAACAAGATGATCTTTAAGGTCCCTTCCAACCCAAACCGTGCTATGAATTTATGATTTTATGACTGTAGTTTTTAAACAGCTGAGAGATTTTAAATTTTTATTGTAAATACATGTGGTTCCAAGAAAGTTTTAAAAGGACAAAAAAAAAAAATCCTCTTATTTTTAGTTTTCCAAATTGTTAATCCTTTTAGAGGTGCTTGAAAGTGTTTGAATTTAACAGGAATTCAAAGCTACTGTGGTTGCTGTCATTTCATTTTTGCTAAATAAGTGATTTAATCAAACCTTCTCTCAACTTCACTCTCTAAATTGCAACTGTTTTAAAAGAAAATCCCCTGCATTTTTCCAAGGGACTTCCCTGCAAGGCCTGGAATACAGCACATGAACCATAGCTCTGCCGGTGTCAACCATTTTGCTGGAGTTTAGAACCGGTGACTCCAGTTCAGGCACGGATGGGAAGAAAGAGGAAGCGAGAAAGCGCATGGGAAGGAGCGGAGCCGTCCTGCTCGCTCCTGGGCATGAGGGAAGGGAGACGTGAGACTCCGTGGGCCTTTGTGGCGTGCACGGCAGGGCTCTCCTCCGCCCGTGGGCCTCTGCCCCATGCTTCCTACCTGCGCTTACGGCGTGCGGGTGCCCCAAAGCCCCCTGTGTGCTGTCCCCACAACCCTTCTGTGTGCTGGGGTCCAGGCTCTGGCCAGGGAGTCCTTCCCGAGTGCAGAGACACAAATTCCCTCTGCAGCTCCTAGTCTGGGATGAGCAACTGAGTGAGCCGGGAGCAAAGGGCTGCCACTGCCTGCACATGCCCGCGGCCACCTCAGCGACCCCCGTTGCCACCACTGCCCACACGCTGCCCGCGGCCACCTCAGCGACCGCCGTTGCCACCACTGCCCACGCGCTGCCCTTCGCCGCCGCAGCCAGCCCCGGGGCTGCCACGGCGGCAGCAGCCGCACGGCGCAGCGGACGAGGCCCCGGAGCCCTGCCGGCAGCCCGGGGACGGCGGTTACCCGCGGGCGGGCCAGGGCGGCGCCCGGGGGCGGGTCGCGGCAGTGGGCGGGCGGCCGCGGGGCCGGGTGGGCGCTGTCCGCCGGGGGAGCACGGTCCCGCGCGTCCGGGAGGGGCGGCGGCAGCGGCGCCTCCCCGCCGCCGGGGCAGGGGGTGGGGGCTGAGAGGCGGCGGCCCCGGCCGCAGCATGGGCTGGGCGGCCCCGGCCCCGGGCAGCGGCCGGCCTGGATGGAGCCGGCCCCGCGCCGCCGCCCCGCCGAGAGGCCCGGCTGCCCGCGGCGGTGGCGCCGGCGGCGGTGGGCGCTGGCGTCCGGGCTGCTGGGCGCCGCCATCGCCCTCTACGCCTGGCTGCCGGAGCCGGCGTCGCGGACCGCGGCGGGAGCGCGGGTGGGCGGCGAGGTGACCGTGCTGCTGTGGTGGGAGCCCTTCGGCCGCCCGCGGCGCACGGCCGACTGCCGCCGCCGCTACAACATCACGGGCTGCCGCCTCAGCGCCGACCGCAGCCGCTACGGCGAGGCGCAGGCGGTGCTCTTCCACCACCGCGACCTGGCGCTGCACGGCGCCGAGGGGCTGCCCCGCGGGCCCCCGCCGCGGCCGCCGCGGCAGCTCTGGGTGTGGATGAACTTCGAGTCGCCCTCGCACTCCGCCGGCCTGCGCGGGCTGGCCGGCCTCTTCAACTGGACCATGTCCTACCGCCGGGACTCGGACGTCTTCGTGCCCTACGGGTACCTCTACGCCCCGCCGGCGCCCCGGCCCTTCGTCTTCCCCCACAAGACGCGCCTGGTGGCCTGGGTCATCAGCAACTGGAACGAGGAGCACGCCCGGGTGCGCTACTACCGCCAGCTGAAGGAGCACCTCGCCATCGACGTGTACGGGGCGCGAGGGCTGGCGCTGGCCGAGGGCGGGGTGGTGGAGACCGTCTCGGCCTACAAGTTCTACCTGGCCTTTGAGAACTCCCAGCACACCGACTACATCACGGAGAAACTCTGGAGAAACGCCTTCGCAGCCAGCGCCGTGCCCGTTGTCCTCGGACCTCGCAGAGCCAACTACGAGCGCTTCATCCCCCCCGACTCCTTCATCCACGTCAACGACTTCCCCAGCCCCCGGCTGCTGGCCACCTACCTGAAATTCCTCGATAAAAACAAACCGAGCTACAGGAGGTATTTTGCCTGGAGGAAGAAGTACGAGGTCCACGTCACCTCGTTCTGGGACGAGCATTTCTGCAAGGTTTGCGAGGCCGTGAGGGCAGCTGGAAATCAAATCAAGACTGTACGAAATCTGGCCGGCTGGTTTGAAAGCTGATGTTCCTGGCGGGTGAAGCTTGGCTGGCTGGCCTGTGCCAGCAGTGGACTGTGTCCAGGCGTCGGGAAGGTTGGATCTCACAGGGATGGTTAGCTGAGGTAGCATGCAGAAGGCTGCCATCAGTGAGGGAAGCATACAGGTACACGTAAACAAGCTGTCAAAAGCCTGCGAAAGGAAGGTTTTCATTAAAGTGCACAATTATGAAAGCACAAAGAAACATCAGGCAAGATGATTCTTAAAGAGCAAAGTTAAATTTGCAGAAGTCTGAAACCTTTACAGTTGTGCATGGCTCGACATAAATGCCGATGCCAAGTTCTTCAGCTGTACAGCTGAAACGAATTTTGTCAGCTATGACAGCTTCCTGGACCATGAAACTTTCTTCTGCTTACGGAGGATACATGATCAGTGCTGGCTTTCTGTACTCCAAAGACAAAAGTGAATATATGTAACAGTGATTGTTATGTGCGTGAAAGCTATTTGCAGACAAATTCTGAGCCGCAAGTGTTGAACGTAGGAATGTAATGATACAGTAGCACTTTTTATCAGTGTTTGAAATTGCATCAGCCAACTAATAATACTTTGAGCCAAATTGTAATTCCATTTAGGAAAAAATGTATAGAAGGGACTGGATCCAAGTGGAACAAACTGCTCAGATGATGTAGAATATTTTTTCCATGGCCTACTAAAAGCCATAGGCACTTTTATCCTGTATGAAGGTGGAGAAGAACTTTAAGTACTGGAAAAGACGGACTGTAGAAAAAATGTTGGAATATTTTCACCCTTCATTTTTTCAGGAATTAGAAAATGTTTACATGAATCTGCATGTTTTTCTCTGCAAAATTGCTGCCATATAGGAAAAAGCAGGGAAAGGCTCAGAACTACAGGGGTTTTATTACTATATTGAATATGTATACAGAAAGGCTCATTTATTTCTGTAGTATCATAGTGTTGTGTAGCAATTGTTTTGGTTTACAGCACACGTTTTTAAAAAGTTCTGCCAGGTGACAGACTACTCAGAATGCCGCTTTGCTGTTCGTAAAATAATAATTACCAAAAAAAAAAAACAACCCAAAACCCAAGTCCCAAATCACTGCCTTTAAAAAAGAAAATGACTGTAGAGAATAAGATCTAGACTGTTGGTAAAATACAGATTGGGTGAGGAAAGAATATGAAAAGGGAAAGATTTACTCTTTTTTTCCTTTAGTTTTCAGGGGGTTTTCCAGCTCAGTTTTTAAATCAATAAATAGGTTCCTAAGATAAAACTTCCTTCTCTCAGTGCCTACCAGGAGCATTTATGGTAATTATTCCATTTCAGACTCTGCTGTTTTGCTGGAGTCTTCATAATAGTGAGTGTGTGGCTGCTTTTTGGTTACATGTAATCTTGCTTGGTGAAATCCAGAAAGAAATTTCAGTTGTAGTTACACAGCCTCAGGAAGCTGAGCCCTCTCTACCCTTTGCAAATCTAAGGTTTGGTGACAAAAAATGATAACCCACAAGTGTGCTGCACAAATGACTAAGGGATTTGTCCAGCTCCTATTTAAGGAGCTGGATAATCCATGGAGTTACCCAGAGACTTCAGTGGGAATAAAATTATGGACACAGAACAGGTAGGGAAAGAAGAAAGTCAGTTGCAAATAAAAGATGGGCATCAGAACAGGTGAGTTTACTGACATTTGTGAGTCATGTATAGGTTAGGAAAGAATTAGGTTTGACGTGAGCAGTAAGGGATGTCAGGTAGATGCTTTTAAGATTTATGAGCTGGCAGCCTGCTGTGATTTGTTTTAAATTAGATGTTCCCTGTGATGAGGTAAGCTTGGAACCAAAGATGATTGAAAAAAATATAATGTTCATTAATAATTTGCACAGATTTACCAGATCAGATCTTTCTGGCTCCTATGTTTATTCCCTTGTGGTTTTGTACAAGGAAGGATGGCTGAAAGTACTTTATGAACCTTTTTGTTGTTAATACCAGAGTTGTAGAAATTTTACTGAGAAAGAAGAGAAGACAGTCAACACAATGTGGAGTATAGTAGCAATGGTCTCTAACTCTGCATTTTCACTTGAATGTGTCTTAAGTGATTGTTTAAAGCACAAACACGTTTTTCCTGGCATTCTCATCTGGTTCTTTACCACTGGTTACTACTCCTGTAAAGTTGGTTTTGATAACTTTAAAAAATCTAATTTAAGTACAGCATTAACAGTAATAGCTAAGTGTCAGGATAATAGAATCTGTCTCCCTTGGAATTATACTTTTTTCAGTTTTTGTCACAGTTCCTGTAAATGTGTAAAAAACCCCTGATCTTACAAGTGGTGAACTAATACTTAAGATTGCACTACTTTCTATTGGTCTGCTGGAACTAGTGCATTTTTTTTTCAGTCCTCCTAAATTTTTGATCATTTTCTGAAAGTTTCCAGGCACACAGTTCAGTGTAATCAGTAATGTCACAGGCAGAAGATCAAGCTACAGGAAAATGGGAATTTCCAAAGATTTCAACCAATACTTTTTTCTCAGCCTCTCAAAAGCAGTTGAAATCTTGGATAAACTAGAGTTTTATAAAATTCAGAAGAGAGCTATGCAATAATTAAAGCATCATGTTTGAACAAGGTGATCACATTTGTGCTGTGTTATTCACTGAGTATTTCAAGAATTGTATGATGAAAACTGTAATAATTATTGTAGAGCATTTGTGTTGAGAGAAAAGAAGCCTTTTCTGGTTTCATTGTTCTTGTGTGAGTGTTGTACACTTTCCTCTTTAGACTGGAGGAAATTCAGCCCTGGTCTACAGCTGCTGAAGTCAGTAATACAGAATCTCTATAAATCTACTTTGTTTTTTGGCTCATCCACTCCACCAGCTATTATTTAGTGTACCGTGATAAGCTAAGGACTGGCTTTTGTAATTCACTTTGCAGAACTGAAGTTTAATGATGAATAAAAAGTTTGCCTGAGGAAATTGGATTGTAGATCAGGTACCAGACTCCACTAGATATTGCAGGTGTTACATATAATCTACCTGTAAAAATTAAGCAAAGTTATTTTGTGTTTTAAGTAGAAAAGTCTTTTTGGATACATTTTAAAAAAGTGCTTTATTCCATGCCTTAAAATACTGGGATGGAGGGAGAGGAAGGAAGATCATTATCTTCTGTTTTTTATAAGGAGAAGAAATAATGCAACTTTTTGATTATGGTGTAAGTGGAATAGAGAATTACATGATCCTTTAAGTTACATATTTTATTTCAAGGAATTTTGTGCTGTTAAGCCTCTTAATATTCATAGAATGATGTAACTTTGTATTTGTATTAATTATTTAGATTGACACACAATGAAATTGAAGAAAGTAAGCACAAAATGACATTATTTTTAATTTCGTTTTCTCTGTTACGAAAGCTGTAGAGAACTGCTTCTTAAAGAGAATGAATTTCTTTTCATGTTTGTTTAATCAATAAAGTGGCTGATTGTTCTCAAGGTAGTCAGACCGTCTGAGTTTAGAAATGAAACCTGGTTGTGCCAGGAGAAAAATATTTTTGTAGGAGAGGCTGTGCTGAGTTATTTTCCATGTGAAAAGGCTCATTTGTTGAAGTTAAGACGTCTGCTGGAAAAATGTCATTTCAAACAAAACCAAAAACCAAACTTTCTCTTGACCTAAGGAGAATTTGAATGTGGTTGGATTCCGCCCCCCCGCCCTTAAATTTCAAAATGAAATTGAGATTGTGTTTATTTTGATATTCAGCATGTAGTGCTACAGCTACATTTATAGCTGCAGCTTTTTTCATGCTTGTTCATCGTTGTCTTCAACTGAGCAACAAAAGGCCCAAAGCTCTTTTCCCTAAGCTTCTGTTAACACATTGCAGCACAGGTGATTACTTACCTCTCTCTTTACTCATTTTCTGTACTGCTTGGTGCATAGTACTGAGAAATTTCAGCATTTCTGAAACTTCCTGCTCAGTCAGGATGGGATAAGTGCTGCAGTCCTCACTTTTCCCCGCTTCAGGTGGTTGATGTTGTATCACCATCACATTTAACTTTTGGAAGTAGAGCTTAAACTGATTGCTTGTTTACTTGTGCCAGAGAGGGGAAACATTTTTTTTGCTGGTTTTCTAGATGTGATTGAACTCTGTGTTGGGGAAACTGATGGAAATAATTTTCTGCCAAATACTGGGTACCATTTGTTCAAGCTTGTTTGGTGACTCTTAAGAAGTGAGTTTCGCCTGATTAAACTCACTTGCACAGCTCTCTGACAGTCATATAAAATGGTATTTAAGAGTGTAAACAGACATTTGTAGAGAGCATAGAGCTGACTCAATCTAAAATCTGTTGATGAGAACACAATGATTTAACATGGATTTAAGTGGTATTTAACTAAAGACAAACCAGGATCCAAGTATAAAAGCCTATTTCTAATCAGTAAAAAAAGACATTATTTGAATAACTGAGGTGTCACTTATAACCAGCTCTGTTTAACAATTATGATCTATATAATGCTGTATTTTCTTCTTTATGATCAGTTTAAAAAAAATACTTGAGGCCAGAATATCACAGAACCATAGAATGGTTTTGATTGGAAGGGACCTTAAAGATCATCTAGTTCCAACCCCCCCGCCATGGGCAGGGCCCCCTTCCCCCAGCCCAGGGTGCTCCCAGCCCCGTCCAACCTGGCCTTGAACCCTTCCAGGGAGGGGGCAGCCACAGCTGCTCTGGGCACCCTGGGCCAGCGCCTCACCACCCTCACAGTAAAAAATTTCTCCCTTATATCTAATCTATATCTAGCCTCTTTCAGTTTAAAACCATAACCTCTCATCCTATCACTACACCCCCTGACAAAGAGTCCCTCCCCATCTTTCCTGTAGCCCCCTTTAAGCACTGGGAGGCCACTATAAGGTCTCCTCAGAGCCTTCTCTTCTCCAGGCTGAATAACCCCAACTCTCTCAGCCTGGCCTCACAGGGGAGGTGCTCCAGCCCCCTGATCATCTTCGTGGCCTCCTCTGGACCCACCCAAGCAGGTCCATGTCCTTCTTATGTTGGGGGCCCCAGAGCTGGACACAGCACTTCAGGTGGGGTCTCATGAGAGCAGAGTAGAGGGGGAGAATCCCCCCCCTCGACCTGCTGGCCACACTGCTCTTGATGCAGCCCGGGACACAGTTGGCTTTCTGGGCTGTGTGTGCACTTTGCTGGCTCATAGTTTTTCATCCACCAGAAACCTCAAGTCCTTCTCCGCAGGGCTGCTCTCAATCCACTCATCACCCAGCCTGTATTTGTGCTTGGGATTGCCTTGACCCATGTGCAGGACCTTGCACTTGGCCTTGTTGAACTTCATGAGGTTTGCCCGGGCCCACCTCTCCAGCCTGTCTGGGTCACTCTGAATGGCATCCCTGCCCTCCAGCGTGTCGTCTGCACCACACAGTTATCTATGTCTACCCTGCACTCTGCAAATGTTTTGTTTTATGATCTCAAGCTAATTACTTATGCCTGAATTTGGCACAGTGGCAGCTACTCCTGTGAGTCTCACCCCAAAGAATATCTGAAAGGAATAAGACAAAGTCTGTTTTTCAGGAGTGCTCTGAGAGCTGCAGCGATTTGGCATTGCCGGCGATAAAGTGCTTAGTGTGTTCAGGAAGTATCCTGAAGCTATAAGCCCCTTTAACTGGAAAACTTTCTCTAAAGGAGTAAATACTTTTGTAACGCCTTCAATGATTTTAAGTCCTTGGAATTATAATTGCGTAGATTTGAATTTTGCAAACATTTAAAATTGGATTTTAGTTCAGTAGCACTCAATATTTTAATAACTATCAAAAGATGATCCAAAATTTGAAACTTGCATTTCTCTCTAGTCATTAAATCATCTTTTGAAATTAATCAGCCCATGGGTTGATTGTATGCATTGTGGAAGACAATTTGCATTTGCATCCTCAGATTTGCTACTGGTGTAAAATACGCTCTAGGTACTTTGGATGATGGGAAGCTCAGTCCAGGAAGAAACAGAACACTAGCAATGCCCAAGTCGTGGCATAATATGTCTCTGAGATCCTGATCACAAGAGTGCCTATGACTGGAAATTGGCCGTCTTGTTTATGAGCAAAAAGCAGAAAGATGATTGCAAATAGAAAGCATAGATTATTGGATTGTGAATATATTCTCATGCATTCATAATGCTGTCAGATAACTTTGTGCAGTGTTAAACATGATGGATGTATTTGAAGCAAGCACAACAGGACTACATGAAATACATCAAAATAATTGTCCTAAAGGCAAAGTTGGATTTAAAATGGAAAAGTGATACCAAAATTAACAAAAAAAAAAAAAAAAAAGGCTTGCAATTACAGAAGAGCATGCATATACATTTTAAATTCTTAACTGTGAACAAAGAGATTTTTCTTGGAAATGCTGAGTCTAGCCCAAATTAAAAACAGGGAACATAGGTTCAGAGTTGTGCTTGTGCTCATGCTTACATCTGTTTCTGAACAAGAATGACCTCCTGAGATTAAGTCAGAGCTCTGAATATTTTTATTTCCCTTCCAGTCCCAAACATATATTTTGCGTTGCTTAATGCTAGTTTCCCTTCTCTGCCATTCACGCATTGCTCCCCAAATGTGCACAGGCCTGTGGCTCTGATGGCTTCTCACTTTGGAGAAGTAGAGCTGAGAAGAGAAAAGTTAATATCTGGGTGTTTGCTGAGAGTTTTGGTCAGATTTTGCAGTAGTCCTGAGATAAATGCAAGTAAGCAGTAGAGTCTGAAGACAAAACAGAGAAAATGTTTTATGGCAATATTTTGTCCAAGACCCTAGCTTGGAGTGAAACATCTCATCAGATTTTAAGGCTGAGACTTTATGCTGTGAGTTTTCTATGTATTGGTGAAGATTATTTTATCGGATACCCCTGAAGATTCCCACTGCTATATTATCTCAGAATCACAGAATCATATAGATGGATTGTGAACACAAAGACTTCACTCAGTATGTCTGCACTGTGAAAAAATGAGTTAGGTTAATTAAGAACAGAATTTGTGCTGGGTTCATCTCCAGTGTTTCAGAAGAAAGATGAATCTTGCTCCTCCCTTTTGTAGGTACATGAGGCACAGAGGCACAGGCCACTTTCCTCACACTGGTTACTCACTTGTGACATACTGTGGGAAAATACTTCTTCCCAACATTGTCTCAAGGGGAGAAGTGGTTTTAACCAACCTTTTTCTATAGCCAATGGTCTTACAACTCTACAAGCTCTCAACAACTGTCTAACCTCTCCAGCTAGCTAAGCTATGGACTCTTTAAACAGTGACTGCTGGCTGTGGGACAACTAAACATGCTATTTAGGCATTTAGATAGACTTTTTATGGTTTAAAATGTTTTGTCTCTTCGTATTGCTCTAGTGATTGATGTGTCTTCCTGTTCACTTATCTGTTACATTTCTGCCATGGGCCATCTTCCACATCTTGCTCTCATTTCCCTCTTAACGGACTGCTCACCAGCTCAGCCACTTGGGCAGATTAGTCTGGTCGGGCAGGTTGTGATACTCAATAGAGAAGTAGCATCATGAAACAACAGGTATGTATGTGATTTTCTCTTTTGCTGGCCTTTTGGGATTGTGAATAGCCAGGCTGGGGAGTTACCAAGTGGCTGGTAAAAGAGAGTGAGAAGAAGAACTGAATTATGTATCTCCTTGCTTTAACCAAAGCTATTTACACCCAAAGAACAGAAGAGCTTCTAGGAGGCAAGTGTCCCTAAATGGCAAATTAAAGAAAATCCATATTTCCACTGTAATGTTCCCCATGACAGTAGCAAAAATGGGGATGGAGAAATCTCTGGGGTTTTTTTCTGAACACCTGCTTCTCCTCAAATTTAGGTTTGATCCTTGACTGCCTCAGAGCACTCCCTCATCTTGTACCTCTTCCCATAACTTGTTAACCTGATTGATCCTGCTTAACGCCAAGAGCATTTGGACTGTTATAACCTGCCCTTGAGGCCATCCACTTTCCTCTAGCAGATGCATAGGACTCAGAGGGGACAGTGAGCTCTGTGTGGGAGCACCACCCATGGCTCACATCCCACACTTACATCTACCTGGGGGATGCAGAGACAGACCTGACTGTATGTTTGAGCTCTGTGAGATGCCTGCTCCTCCCAGGCACCCTTACACCCCTGCATCTTGTAACTTGTCTAAATACTTGAGCAGTGTTACTTGTGGGTACACTGGCTCTGCACAGAAAAGCAGTGAGTACAATGGCAGATCATATCTTGGCCCCATACCCTTAATCAACCCACAAGCCAAACCCCAAAATTAGCACACATTCTCAATATAGCCTTTAGGAGGGGTTGAATACCTCAGAAAGACTATCATTTAGGTTGTCTCCTGTTTGCCTGTTCATTAATGTCTCCATGCATCCCTACTGCATTTACCAGGTTGTTCTCAGGAAGACTAAAGTCCTCCCTTGGACTTGCAATCTAGATACACCCATGCACATGTAAATGCTGAAGG